CTCCCAGCATGGGTCTTAGTACCCGCCCTGGGGCTGCTATAACAAAAATACCAGAGTCGGGGGCTGAAACCACAAACACCGATCCCTCAAAGTTCTGGAAGCTGGACGTCCAAGGTCCAGGTGCCAGCAGGTCTGGTGTCTGGTGACAGCCTCCTTCCTGGCTGGTAGACAGCCACCTGCCACTGTATCCTCACAAGGGGAGGGGGTGTGGGCTCTTGTGTGTCTCTTCTCATAAGGGCACTACCTTCTTAGGAGGGCTCCAGCCCCATGACCCAATGACCACCCCCCCCTCCCCAAGGCCCCATCACCAAATACCATCCAACTGAGGATGAAGGTTTCAATGTACGAATTTTAGGGGGACACAAACATACAGCGCCTGATAACCCACATCTCCAGACTGCGCCAGTCCACAAAAGCCACACTGAAGGTTACACACAAGACCACAAAACCAGCCAGGATGAATCAGAGGCTTTTCTGCCTCTCGTCCCAGTGGAGTTGGCCCGTGGGGGGCTTCCGCGGCCACCACGGTGGGGAAAAAGCTGGTCTGCATCCTCGGAAAGGAGCGAGGGCCAGAACCAGCGCGGGAGGAAGGGGAACCGGGTCCAAGCCACAGTGCTGCAGCCTCTACGTCGGGCTGTGGCTGGCGTGCCAGCAGTCACGTCTCCTGTTTTGGTTCTCATCTCCATCCCAACTGCGGGGGTAGCTCCCGGGCTGCCCCCGAGGAGATGGAAAGAGGTGCGGGCGCATCACTTCCATCCCGGCCGGCAGCCCGCACAGCACTCGCTTCTGAGCCAGTACTAGGTACTAGGCTGGCCCACCTCCCGCCAGGGTTTCTGTCACTGGCAACACCGGAGTCTGAACAAAACGGCGGCCTGTTACCGCCACCACGCCACGCTGTCCTCACAGCATCACAAGTCTGGAGGAATTCTCCGGAGGAGGTCAAAGCTCTGGGTTTGTGTGCTCAACGCCACCACCTCGACACCTGCCTCCACCTGCGCCCGCCGGCTCGCCTCCTCCCACCTCCGGTCGCCACGGGGCCGCCCCCCCCACCCCCGCCTCGGGCCCTCCCGGCCGCCCCCTCCTCGCCTTCCGTCCTGAGAACACAAGGCTGGCGGGCAGGTGCTGGGAGGCGGCGGGCGGGTCCTGAAGAAACGACGGGCTGGGGCCCGAGGGACGACGGGTCGGTCCTGAAGGGACGACGGGCCGGGGCCTGAGGTACGACGGGTCGGTCCTGAAGGGACGACGGGCCGGGTTCTGGGGGGCGGCAGGGGGTCTCGGGGGGGGTGGTGGCGGGGGAAGGTTCTGGGGGCGTCGGTGGCCTGCGGGCCCGCCTGGCTCCCGGGAGCGCGCGAAAACCTCGCCGCACCAGCCGGCCGCAGCACCTACTCCACCCCGACCCCGGAAGTGGGTGGGCGCGCGACCCCCAGGCGGGCCCGCGATGCGGTGCGCCGCAGCCAATCGCGCGCGCCCGGCCTTGCGTCACGGCGAGGCCGGCCAATGGGCGCGGGCCTGACGGCCGCTTCCTGCCCGCCCGCTAGCCCCGGCAGCTGGGGGAGGGCCCGCCCGCTAGCCCCGGCCGCGGACGAGCGATCGCCGCGACCCCGCCCGCCGGGCGCCCGCCCAGGTGAGTGCGGCGGCGGCGGCACCGCCCGGCCTCTCCGGGTAGGTTGGGGCGGCGGAGGCCTGGGGATCGTCCTCTCCCCGCGGCTGCTTTGGGTGGGAGAGGCTGTGCTCGTGCGCTTTCCTGCACACCGTGCGGGGCGCCGTCGCCATCCCCCAGAACGCCCGGTGACGCCCCCGCTCCAGCCTTTGCGCTGGAGTGACTTGGGGAGCGGGTTGCTGGAGCCTGCGGATTTAGAGGATCGAGCTGCGAGGAGCGCGTTTGTCCCTCCCCGAGGCAGCGGGTAGGAGCAAATCTGCGTGTCGTGGGATTAGCGCGGGCAGATGGTGAGGGCCGGGCGCTCCGACTACGCCCCTGGTGGCCGGGCAGGGGGCCCACCTGTCGCCCAAGTGCACGGAACCGGAATGAAAGCAGGCTGGCCCGGCCGCGATGATGCGGGGTGGGATGGGGTGGAGTTCATCCCCAGATTGCCGGCTCAGGGCATCTCCTGCCCAGTGCGGCCAGCCGACCCTGCCTCAGGAAGGGCTCAACTAACCGGGCATGTCCTGCCATTTTCTCCCGCGTCTTTGGACCCTGATGTCGCTTTCCAACAGCCCCCGCAAGTGGCAGGCAGTAAGCAACCGTCAGAAGTCAGGGCTCTGTGTTTGCTCAAGGGGTGGGAGTGATAGGGTGTAATAGAAAAACCAACAGGAAACCCTTCTGGAAGGAGCCCTAAGGCAGACGCAGGGAAATAGATGCTTCGGGAGCTCCCTTGGTCCCTTGTGTCCCTCCCTCTGCCATACCCCGGCCCTACTTTCCCCACCTTCACCTTCCCTGGAGGACCTTTTGGTCTCTGAAGGGACCTATTAGTAAACCTGCGCAGAAAGGCAGTTGGCTCTGAGGATGGTGAGCAGGTGACCTCCTAGTGGATTGACTGAAGGTCCAACTGGAATTCATTGTACAAAAGTTCTTGGTGAACCCAAGGTTGCTTTCTTGGAAAGTACTCTCTCTGGCCCTACAAAACACAGAAATCCCAGGATCCCAGAATCATGGGACTTAATGCTCAAACCTCCCTTTCAAGAGTCTTCTGACCCAGTGACCCAGAGTCCCTGGACTGGTTACCTGGTCACCTCAGAGCCAGGAAGTGGTATATAGGGAGCTGGGGTGGCATCCTGGCAGGAGCAGAAAGGGGGTGAGGCTGGCCAAGGGTGTTCACCCCTATCCTCTTTAGCCAGGAAGCGATGGTGCCTGTGTGTCCACTCTGAAGGGAGTTTGCAAACATAAACCTGCATCCTGTCCTTTCTCTGCAGTAGGGTCTTTTGTTAGCTGCCCAGAAGGTTCAGTTATGTCTATATGGAAATTAGTGCTTAGTCATTTCTCTGAAGGGAAGTGGATCGAGTAAGCGAAAGTCACTACTCATTGAGCTCAACCTAGAGATGGCCTGACTTCACTGGTTTCTTATACAGTGAACTGTGACCTGAGAGATGGATTTATATTCACATGACATCACAGGAGCCAGCATTCCCTTTACCCCCAGAATTCTTAACTTTGCCCCCCAACAGTTTATGACGAGGATATTCAAACACATGGCCAAGTTTAAAGAATTATACAGTAAACGCCCTTATGCCCCCCCCACCTGAATTCTGCTATTGATCTTTTACTATACTTGTTTTATCCCATACCTATCCACCTATCATGACCTTACCTTAAACCTTAAGTCACTGATGATATTTGGCTTCCCTGGAGCTGTATTTCCATCTTAGCTCAGGGAGTTGGCCGTGCCATGGATGGAGGTGGTGATGATGATTATCCATAAACTTTGGGTGAGCACCCACTATGTGCAGGGTACTGTTAGGTGCTTTGGAAATGAAGAGGCTGAGGAGGAAGGGATTTGATTTTTTTCTGTTTTCTAAGAGATCGGAGATCAGCGGTAGTGTGTAAAAGCAGGTGCCAAGTAATAAAACGGCACCAGTAATGCTCACGGAGTTCTTGCTGCGTACCGGGCACTATCACAGGTTCCGTACCTATATTATCTCACTTCATTCCTACAGCGACTTCGTAAGGAGGTCGGTATTGCCTTCCGCCTTTAACAAATTAAGAAATCGAGGCATAGAGAGGTTAGTCGGCTCCAGGTGGTGCCAGAAAGGGATGGAGCCCGGACCCAGATTCCAACAGTCCACAGTGTAGATGCCAGAGGGGGAGAGTGGACCCCCAGGCTTGGCCAGGTAGGAGCCAACAGGTGTCTTGGGGTTACCAGAGCTCTTCCATCTGGATGCAGATACCGGTTTTCAAATGGCTCCAGAAGGCTGGTGTTGTAACTTCCCATGTGTTTGACCGGGATGATGTGCCAGGGCGGAGAGGTCGCGGTTCTGGGGTGTCTCCCAACGTGTGGCTCCTATTCCTTCTGCTTCCCTTCTGCCTCATCCCTTGGTTACTTCCTCCCCAGCCTGCTCTCTTCTTGGTGTTTGTAAGACACGCTTTGTTCCAGAAAAGCCTATGTGCCTGTAGCAGATGCTCCTGTTCTCAGCCACTTTGCATCTGTCACGCTGTCCCAAGCACCCACAGCCTGGCCCAGCAGCCTCGAGGCACCCGGCCTGCCACTGCCGGTCTCCCAGGAGCTCTTCCCTCCTTCTTGGCCCTGGGGCAGTGTCAGGCAGAACTTCTCACTGCCCCCCACCCCCAGGCCGCTGCCATCCAGCTTTTCTGTTTCGCTGCTGAGGTTCTGACCTGTGGCCCTGCCTTGGTAGGAGGCTTGACCCTACCAGAAGCCAGGCTCCAGGAATCAGGCCCCAGGGAGCACCAGCATAGTCCGCCCTGGAGGTGTGGGCGTCGCCAGTGATAGAACTTACCAGTCGCACCCCCCCTTCCCTAGGGCAGAAAGGAAGAAGACAGGAAAAGGAGCAGTGGTGGAGGATGGCAGATGGGGAGGGGCTGAGGCGGGGAGGGTGGTGGTCACCCAAAGGGGGTCGAAGACGGGACCCTCACATCCCCGCCATGCAGCTGCAGGGCTCTCGCAGGACCGGGCTGGGGTGCCAGACCCGTGGGGACGCTTTCACCAGACCCGTATAGGATCGTCAGCCGTGAGACCAGCATAAATGAGGGGACCTGCCCACCGTGGGGCAGAGGCCTCCTGGGGAGGCAGCGATGGGCATAGGATCGAACTAAATCCGCGACTTTGCCTTTATTCTTTTGACAAGAAAGATAGGGAGGAAATGTGACCAAATAACGAGCGACATGCTTTAGATTTGAGGAGGTAAATGCAATTTTTTAAATAATGCCCATCCTTAGAGGGAAGGCAAGAACAAGGAAGGAAAACGTGCCCTAGGCTCCGGACGCCGGGAGCTGGCAGCGGACGCTGACCCGGCCTCCCGCTTCCAGCTCTCCCCGGGCTGCCGCGGCCATGCCCAACTCGGTGCTGTGGGCCGTGGATCTCTTTGGGAAGGTGTACACGCTGTCCACGGCGGGCCAGTACTGGGAGCTCTGCAGGGACAGCCCGCTGGAGTTCAAGCGCGTCAGCGCCACCACGCAGTGCTGCTGGGGCATCGCCTGCGACAACCAGGTCTACGTGTTCGTGTGCGCCAGCGACGTCCCCATCCGCCGCCGGGAGGAGGCCTATGAGAATCAGGTGGGGTCACGTGTGTTTGCGTGGCTGCCTTGGGTCGGTTTTCTGGGAAGGAAATCGCCCCGCCCCAGACGTTCGTGTCCTTCATTCTGCTTCGGGTCTCGGTTCTATAGCGTTCGGGGGCTTTGGGGCCGGAGCCCCTGTTGTGTCTTTATAAAGGCAGGCTGGCCAGGTCTGCACAAGGGTGGGCTCCAGGTGGTCTCCAGGAGCCCAGGACCTGGACCTGACCTCTACTGCCTGCCGCTCGGGGCCATGCTCAAGTGCTGGCTCTTGGTGACGAGCCGTGGGGAGGCCCTGATCCCTGAGCTCCGGGCAGACCGTCTGCCCACTCTCCGTCCTGGAGATCAGCAGGAAGGCCCCCTAGTGGCGGGGTCCCACTCAGCCCCGGCCGGCTGCAGGCCTCAGGCCTGTCTCTGCTTCCCGGCCCTCAGCGCTGGAACCCCGTGGGTGGCTTCTGTGAGAAGTTCCTGCCCAGTGACCGCTGGCAGTGGAGTGACGTGAGTGGGCTCCAGCACCGGCCGCTGGACGGGGTGGCCCTGCCCTCGCGGCACTGGGAGTGGGAGTCGGACTGGTACGTGGATGAGAACTTTGGAGGGGAGCCCACCGAGAAAGGGGTAGGTGAATTCGGTTCCCGCTGGGGCTCCCCTGTGGGGAAGGAGTGCTTGGGGCTGGACCCATACCCCCCCCCACCCCCGCCTGCCCCGTGCCGTCCCCAGCGCCCCAGCTGGCGCCCTGCATGCTCCAGCTTGCTGCGCGGGATAGGTGGCTGTTGGTGCTTTGGGCCATACCCCTGTCTCCCTCCCTCTTCCACCCTGCTCCCCGCCTGCACCGGCTCTGTCCTTCCCCGGGAGCCTTACAGAGCGCCCCCCACCCCGTCCCCGCGCGTGGTCTTTCAGGGGTGGACGTACGCCATCGACTTCCCCGCTACGTACACGAGAGACAAGAAGTGGAATTCTTGTGTGCGGCGGCGGAGGTGGATCCGGTATAGGAGATACAAGTCCCGGGACACCTGGGCCAAGGTCTACGCCGGAGTGGGGCCCGGGGGTGGGGCAGCGCCCCGACAGCCATACCGCTGTCGGGAGGGTCGCATGGGACCCTGTCCCAAGAACACCGTGGTACTGTGTGTTCCTTCATTTGGGAGCTCGCCATACAGGAAGCCAGACTAGACCGTGGCCCAGGACAGCACAGAACATGACCTGACTGGCCTCCAGGTGGTTCTGTCCCAGACTGAGGCTCAGTCTGTATACCTCTTCCTGACCCCAGCTCCCACAGGAGCCACCCTGACCGTCGTATTATTCCCGTGACCCCTAGAAACTTTCCAACTTAGGTATCGGAGGGTGTGGCCTTGCATAAGAGGAGGGCCTTGGACCCTCACCGGACCCCTCTGGAGGTCCATGAGGTGGGGCCGCTAGCCCAGCCTGCCAGCCCCTTGCCCTGGGAGCAGCCCAGAGAGCAGGGTACCTCCCATGACCAGCATCATGGAGGGCTTACACCACAGGACCAGGTTCTGTGATCGGCCCCCTTCTCGAAGGGTGAGGGGACGGAGTCACAGCGGTTGGGCCACCACAAGGCACAGACCTGAGACCTTGCTTGTACGTCTGTGTTCCAGGCTGGAGTAGCAGTGACCCCTCGGGGGTAGCGGCCCAGGCCTGGTGCCCGATAGAGGGAGAACAGGGCAGAAGGGCTAGGAGCTCTCTGTCCTAATGCTGCCTTCTCCATGTCAGGCAGTTGTGGGGCGAGCTGGGGAATGGAAGGCAGTGTGCTGGGAGGTGGGAGGGAGCGCTGGAGGGGTACACCGCCCGGGTGTCCAGCGGGAGGGGAGCAGTGCCATCTACCTGGCCAGGTGCCCACAGGTACTGACCACTTCTGCCACACACCTTGTTTCAGATCCCTTCGAAGGAGGACCCCAAGCAACTGCCCGACCCCTTCAATGACCTCTCTGTGGGGGGGTGGGAAATCACGGACGAGCCCGTGGGCCGCCTGTCCGTGTGGGCTGTGTCTCTGCAGGGAAAGGTAAGGCCTGTGTCCCGCTGTGCCTAGGATGGGAGGTGGCTGAGGGAGGCTGGCCACAGCAGGAGCGGGGCAGGAGAGACTGGCCTTCAGGTGTCCTCCCAGGGACGGAAGAGGGGCGAGGGGGCTGCCCTCCTCACCTCCTGTCCTTACAGCGGGGGCTCCCCTGAGCAGGCAAGGCGGCATGTTACTGGGGTCCCCACAGGAACCCCTCCTGTGAATCCTGCTGTCCTGTGGTCCTGCTCCTCCCAGAAGCCTCTGACATCCCACCTCATGCCTGGTCCTGGCCCGTCCCTTCTCTGAGCTCCCAGAGCATCGATCAGTGCCCACCCTGAGCTCAGATGCCATCAATAGTGTCTCCTCAGACTGATTCTGAGCTCCCTGCCAGTTCCCTTCTGGTGGCTCCCACACAGCAGTCTCCAGTAGGATTGTGGGTGGGATTGTGGACTTCGGGGGAGGGATTCACATGTGGACAGGTGAATGGACAGGTGGATGGATGGGTGGGTGTTGGATGAGTAAGTGGGTCGGTGGGCGGGTGGATGGATGGGTGAGTGGGCAGGCGGTTGGACGATGGGTAGGTGGGGAGGTCAGTGGGTAGGTGGGTGGATGGCTGGGTGTGTGTGTGTCGGTGGATGGATATTTAGAGAGGAGAGGAGATTCTTCTCGCAGGGAGTTTATGAACTAAGGAGTAAAGCCAGCCCCTGATGGCAGGAGCAACATAGGTGGTCCTGCCTGCAGGTGACTGAACACTTCAGCTGTGGTTTTAGAGCAGACTTCATCTGTCCAGTACTCTTTATCACCAATTCACCCAAATTCTCTGGCTGGCTTCAGAATAGACACAGTAGGTTTTGATCAGCCTCACCTCTGGGTCCTGTTTGGCCTGGGTTTAGGTCAGCCATAGTTGTGGGTTTTCTCTGAGCCGTGCTGAAGGATGGTGGGGAGCTGGCCTGGGGACGGAGCCCCCTTTGAGGGGCCATGACCACCTGGATGCAGAGAGGGGAGAACAGGGGCATGAGAGCAGTGTGCAGTCACTGTGTGCCGGCCCTTAGCTGGTGCCTCCCTGCACCGCTCCGGGGGGCCATGAAAGGTATGACTAGGACCCTGGGCTCCAGGAGGAGCTCAAGAGAGACAGAGGGGTCCCCAGACCACCAGAGGGAGGCTGCCCAGGCGTGGTTCTGCAGTGTGAGCTGTAAGGGTGAGGTAAAGGGTTGGGAAGCCGTGGTCCCCAGTGTGAAGGCAGGCTGGGAGGTGGTCCCCAGCCTTCCTGCACCTTGCAGCAAGATGTAGCCCCCTCCAGATGACACGAGCCAGTTTGGACAACGTGATCAGGTGGCTCAGTCTTAAATATTTTATTATGTTCATCGCTTTCAGGTTAAGGGGGAAAAGAAGTGGACATTTTAAACATTTGTATGAAAGGGATTTGGGGGTTTTCCCATTTAACCAAGGACCCCACTTGCCCTAGAGACGGTGTACTGAAAGTACATGGCCACTAGGGGGCACAGGACACCAGGCTGGGGCCAGAGGTCTAACCAGGGCCCTAGGTGAAGGGGGAACGGGTTTCTTTCTTTCTTTTTTTTTTTTTTAAGATTTTATTTATTTATTTGACAGAGAGAGACACACAGCGAGAGAGGGAACACAAGCAGGGGGAGCGGGAGAGGGAGAAGCAGGCTTCCCGCGGAGCAGGGAGCCCGATGTGGGGCTAGATCCCAGAACCCCGGGATCATGCCCTGAGCCGAAGGCAGACACTCAACGACTGAGCCACCCAGGCGCCCATGGGGAAGGGGTTCTTGCAAGCAGATGATCCGAAGGGGTTTGTCTCCCAGGATGACTGAAATCCAGGATTACATTTTTTAGCAGGGGTGGGGGGGCATCTAATCTGGCATGAGGATCCGGAATGGCAGTGGGGGCAGGGAGAGCAAGTCTGGACAGTCAGGGCTCCCTGGCCCCAGAGACTCTACACCTGGCTCAGGTGTACACTCAGGCACATAGCCAGCCGTGGAGCCCTGGCCGGACCCTGTCTGACCCTGCCGTGGGTTTCTTCGCCACGCAGGTGTGGTACAGAGAGGACGTCAGCCACCCCAACCCCGAAGGCTCATCGTGGTCCCTCGTGGACACCCCAGGGGAGGCAGTGCAGATCAGCTGTGGGCCCCACGACCTCCTGTGGGTCACGCTCTGGGAGGGGCAGGCCTTGGTCCGGGAAGGAATCAACAGGAACAGTCCCAAAGGTGGGCAGCCCTACGCCCCATACAGGGAGAGGCAGGGGACGCCCAGCTTCTCCCCAGTGCTCTCGCTGATGGGGGCCGCCTGCTCTTTCTTGTGGGGCCGGGTAGGAAGTTCCTGGTCCATAGTGGAGCCTCCCGCCTCTGAAAACGGGATCGTGCATGTCTCCGTGGGAGTTGGCGTGGTCTGGGCCATCACCAAGGACCGGAAAGTAAGATGGCGTCCCTGGGGGCTGGGGCCAAGGGCTTTGCTTAATTTCTTTTTTTCCTTCGCTTCTTTTTCCTGAAAGGAATCACTGGCCCATAGGGAACTCAGGGCTCAGTGTGGAGGGCTGTGTGGTTTTTTGTTCTTGCAAGTGTGGTCTCAACCCCTTAGAGCAGATCCAGCCAAGCACCGTGCACTTTCCGGGGTTGAAGGCCTTGATGATCTCCACAATGTGCCCACACCCCCGTACCAAAGTGCAGAACAACTCAGTAGGCCATGACATTTCAAAGAGTCAGATGCCAATTTTCTGAAACCCTCCACTAACTGAATATGCCCCTTTGCTCTCAGTGCTTGTCATATTCACATTAACAGAGAAAGTCCAATAAAGTAAGCAGATTTCAGGTTGCTTCCATTGTCTCTCTAACCCCACCTCATGGGCATCCCATAGCATCCCAGGGGATGGATCCCCCACACACCTGAGTCTGTGTCCATGCAGAAGGTCCCTGAGCCCAAAGCTGCCATCACCTGAAGCATCCACCTCCCACAACCCGTAAGCCCCTCTCAGAACACAATGCATCCAATGAGCAGAACCTTGTATTTATATGAGACATTTGCTCAGTCTTCAGATAGATGTTTGTGCAAACTTCCTTTGGGTCAAGGAGACATTTTGGGCAGTCTAGAAATTGTTAAAAAAGGGGTTTGAGGGTTTCTCATTTAACCGGCCACCTCCCCGCATCCTGCCTCAGGAACTGTGGTTAAACACGTGAGTGCTAGTAATGCGTGATCCTCTCAGGGGGTCTCAGAACTGCTGGGGTCTTGCTCACGTGGCCATCCAGAGTGAGGAAGGGTAGTCGCGGGGGGCACGGCCGGGGTGGGAGGGGTCAGCCACGGGGCCACATGTGGGCTTGAGGGAAATGTGGCTGGATCATGTGTATTTTTATAAGTTAACCTGAAAAAAAATCAGGTTTTTTTCTTTTATCTTTTATCTTTTTTTTTTTTTTTAAAGTAATCTCTACATTCAACATGGGGCTCAAACTCATGACCCCAAGATCAAGAGTCACATGCTCTTCCAACTAAGCCCAGGCAGGTGCCCCGAGAAAAGTTAGGCTTAAAGAGACTATTTCTTGAAGCAGTAAGAATAGATTCAGAATGTTACGTATCTCATGGTAGGTTTAGAAAAAAATGGCTTTTCTAAATAACATCAACAAGGCCGTTACCTTACATAGAAGCAAGCTTGGTTGGACAAAATGACATCTTCCAGGTGTCAGGCTAAGATGGGGACTGCACAGAGGTCCACGGGGGGTGACATGTCGCTCGCCAAGCTCACACAGGTCAGTGTCTGCTTTCGAGATGCAGACGTTGCCCAGGAGAAGGCCCACCTCCTGGCTCTGTGCGCAGTGAGACAGCTGCTGCTCCTGCCTGGTGCCAAGAGGTGCTGAACTGGTAGAACATTCTAGAAAGATTCATGCAGCCTTGTCTCCTGGAGGGGCAATGCTCTCTGCCAGAGACGAGACAAGAATCCACCAGGATAGGTATGGCTGAGGGCAGGTTGACCATTAACGTGTGTGGGACAGTGCCAAGCCCAGAGGGAGATGCGGCGGGGGTGTGGGGAAGAGGGACCGGAATCACGTCTCCTTTCTCAGTGATGTGCTGTGCTCATCTGTGGCATGAACCAAAGGACCAAATACTCATTTGTTCTTCCAGAGCCTTTGAAAACCATCTTCTGTTTCAGTGACCCTCCAAGGGGGCCTGTCGATTTCTGACTTTCCCAGGTGTGGTTCCGAAGAGGCGTCAACTCGCACAACCCCTGTGGCACCAGCTGGATTGAGATGGTCGGAGATATGATGATGGTGAACGTGGGGCTGAACGACCAGGTGTGCACGGGACTCTGGGCCGTGGATCCCGACCTCCGGGGTCAGCGGCTCATCCACAGCCGAGGACTCAGAGTGGGGGCTCCTGCTGCTGCCATGATGCCATCCCGGGGGGCGTGGGGGGGGGGGGAAGGTGCCCAGCTGCTCCTCAGGCTCCCGGCCTGCAAGGGCACCCAGGACACTGGCTCCGCCTGGGTCCCACAGCCCCTGCTCGTCCCAGGCCCCTTCCCTCAGGATGCTCAGCGCGGTGGTGGTGAGCACGGACCAGGGGCGCGTGCCCCGGAGACCCGAAGGGTTTTGTTGAGAATGATTTGGGCAAAATCACTCAGTAAGTGAAGAATGAAACTGATCTTCCCAGCTTTATAGACACAGCATCTCTTGAACGTCATGGTTTGTACAGCGTGGCAGCCTCATAGATAATGAGGTTTGGCTGCTTTGAAGACTGACTGTGGGAAGGTGACTCCTTTCGCAGCGCACTGGCCTAGAAGCTCTTCTCAGGGGCGCTGGCCTTCTCTCTGCGCCCATGCCATCCTCCCACGCACCCTGGTCAGCAGGGTACACAACAGTCAGGGGCAAGACAGGCGCTGGCTGGTGCACACGGGGACCAAGGACGGAGGCCGGCCTGCCATGGCCAAGTGATGGAGACACTGCAGCCCTCCCAGCAAGGCCACCTGGGACCACCCTGGGCAGGCTGCGGCCCTTTAGGCACCCCCATAAGCCAGGGCCCAAAATGGGCTGCTCCCTGGGCCTGTCAGCTGCTCGGCACACCTTCCTTCCTCAGCACCCAAAGGCAGAGGGGAGGATGCCTGCCCAGCCACCAGATCAAGGAAGCTATCTTGCATCTTTAAAAAGACCCAGCCAATTCTCTGGGTTCACTTGGGGAGCAGCTTTCTTCCCACCAGAGGCTACATGGAAGATGGGGATGTGGGTGGACTCTGTGTCCCAGTGCAGTGCCCAACGGCACCACCACTTCCTCCGGGCTTTGTCAGCCCAGAGCCCGGGGTCGGCCTGAGGTCAGGGAGCCAGGACAGGGTCCCCACTTCTCCTGAACTTGGTGCTATGCCCTCCCCTGGTCCTCTCTGGCCTCTGTTCCCTGCATCTGACTTGTGCACCCACGTCCCCCCCCCCACCATCAACCCTCCCAGCCATAACACTCGTGTGTGCGCACACCCCCCACTGCACATATGTGGGGGGACTCCTGCCTGCATTTGTAGACATGTCCTCTAGCCTTGGGGTGCTCACCCCCATACCCCTAAAGGGAAGGGATCCTTCCGGTCTGTGCTGGCCTCCCACCCAGCCGTGCCTCTCTCCGTGCCAGGTTTGGGGCATTGGCTGTGAGGACCGGGCCGTGTACTTCCGCCAGGGTGTCACCCAGAGCGAGCTCAGTGGGAAAACATGGAAAGCGATCGTTGCCAGCCGAGAGAGTGACCGATCGCACTCTGGTAGCTCATCAAGTCTCCTCAGGTGATCCCAGGGGCAACAGGGCACCGAGGACTCGGGTCGGGAAGGGTTGTCGGTGGCCTCGGTGGGCAGTGTCTGGGGGAGGCTGCAGCTGGGCCTTGTCTGAGGCAGGGAAAAACCAGGTTCGGCCTGCAAGAGCCAGGGCCTGTGAGGTCTCTCCCTTCCTGTGCCTGGTGCCAGGGCTCGGCCTGAGGGTGGCCCATGGGGGCAGGCTGGCGGCAGGGTGGGAGGTGGCAGGTGGGTGAGGTTGGGATGTCCGTCCATGTTGGAGCTGGGGGTCGTCCCTGAACAGGGCTGGCCCACTCGTTCTGAAGTCTCAAGGTCTGGGAGAGAAAAGGCTTCTCTGTGGGGTGGATGCTAAGGCCCCTCTGTCAAAGGAGAGCAGAGAAGACCGAGGGTCTCTCTAGTCTAGAACAGGGACCTCAAACTTGGCCGTGCACCAGAAACGCCCAGAGGGCTTGTCCCCGCACAGACGTCCAGGCCCCGGCCTCAGAGCTTCTGTTTCCATAGAATTTTGCATTCAGTAGATTTTGGGTTATTTGCATGGTCCCAGGTGTATCCGCTGCTAACAGCTCTGAGGACCACGCCTTGAGAATCATGGGTGTAGAGAGTGTGGATGAGTCCCGGCTGCGCCCATTGGTGGTCACTGCAGGCAGAGGACCTAGGGTCTCAGCCGGCGGCGGGGGGGGGGGCTCGGGGGAGAGGGAAGGTATCACCTCCGCTCTGTACCGCGAATGCCCGCAGGGCTTACCTGCCCAGTCCTGTGGCACAGGGGCTCTTGGGACAGCGCTCCACAGTAGCATGGGCCCTTGCCAGACCCTGGTCCATATCCCTTCGCTCCCCCAAGCATGGCGGTCTTCACTCTGCTGCACCGAACGCCCAGAGGCCCAGGAGGTTGGCCGGGCTGGACTTTCCTCATTTACCTGAGGGTTGAGGCTCTCAGCTGGTAGTACTCAAATATTGGAATCAGCTGAGAAGCTTCCAAAACTACTGATGCCAAACCTTAATCTTGGCAATGGCTTTTTAAATATGACATCAGGAGCACCGGAAATGAAAGGAAAAATAGAGACAGTTTGATCAAAATTAAAAACTTTTGTGCATCAAAGGACGCCATCAGGAAAAGGAAAAGACACTCCACAGAACGGGAGGAAATATTTGCGAATCACATGTTTGACAAGGGTCCAGTATCTAGAATATATAAAGAGCTCTTAAAACTAACAAGAAGACAACTCAATTTAAAAAGGGCAAAGGACTGGAATAGACGTTTCTCCCAAGTAGATGCGCAAACGGCCGACAAACAAATGGAAAGATGCTCGGCGTCATTAGTCATGAGGGAAATACAAACCGAAACCACAAACGAGATACCACTTCACACCCACCGGGAGAACTGAAGTCAAAAAGAAAGGCGATACCAAGTGTTGACAAGATGGGGAGAGATTGGGACCCGTGTGCAGTGCTGGTGGGAAGGTAAACGGGGTGGCCGCTGCGGGAAACAGTCTTGGAGTTGCTCAAGAAGTTAAAGATAGAGCGACCCCGTGACCCAGCACTCGCACCCCTAGATCTATACCCAGAAGAACGGAAAACAGATGTCGAAACAAAAATTCGTACGTGAATGTTTATAGAAGCGTTATTCACAGTAGCCAAAAGGTGCAAACAACTCAGATGTCCATCCGCAGATGAATAAATGAAACGTGGAGTATCCATACAGCAGAATATTCTTCAGCAACAAAAAGAAGTACTGAGTCACGCTACAACATGGGTGAACCTTGACCTCATCATACGAAGCGAGAGAAGCCAGTCACGAGACTGAATGTCACGCGATGCCGTTTATATGCCTTGTCCAGAAGAGGCAAATCCATAGGGATAGAAAGCCGATTAGTGGAGGCCGGGGGGGTGGGGAAGTGGGGGTGGGTATGGAGAGTGGCTCCTCAGTGAGGTCAGGGTTTCCACGTGGGGGTGACGACAAAGTTCTGGAACGAGGTAGTGGTGGTCGTTGCATAACCTCGTGGGTGTATTCAAATGCCACATCATTTGAGATGGTAAATATTCTATCATACGTATTTTGCCAGAACATGAAAATAATGATACCACCAGATTTCCACCCCCAGATAAATGATATGATCAGCCTGGGGTGAGACTGGGCTGTCCAGCTCCCCGGGAGGTAGCTATCCGTGTGTGTGTGACACGGCGTGGCTGTGGCTTGTTCGGGGTCACAGCGGACGAGCCCGGCCTGCCCACAGCAGCACGTGTCCTTCTCTTGAAGGGGTCACGGGTCTGCCTCTCTCGTCCCCAGTGCTGGCTGCTTCTTTGGCGACGAGGTAAGGGGCAGTGGTGAGTCCTGTGCACCGAGCGACACGGACGCCTCTTTGGAAGCCGACAGACCGGGGCCTGACCAGCCTGTCCCTGCAGAGTCTGTGGACGGTCCCAGGAACCCCAGGGACAGCTTGGCCTCAGGCACCGGCAGGACCCCAGAGCTTGCCGTGGAGGTTGCTGGCTTGGCCACTCAGACTCCTGGGCCCGAGCCTCGCCCCGGCGCGGCCTCCACCCCGGCCGAACTGCCCTGGACCAATATTGACCTGAAGGAGCCCAAGAGAGCACCCAGCCACTCAGCTGCTAGCTTTCCAGAGACCACCGGCCTCTCCTCGCTGGGGCTCCTCCCACTGGGCTTGGAGGAACCCTATGGGGCCGATGACCACCCGCTGTGGGCCTGGGTGTCAGGAGGAGGCTGTGCCGTCGAGGCTCACGCTGTCCTCAAGTGGTTCACCGTCCAGTCGGGTAAGTGCAGGTGTCCGAGGGCCCAGCACCCCAGAGGGTGCTCCTTGTGGGGGGTAGCAGAGGAAAGAGCCCTGGCCTGCTGCCCAGCTGTGGGCGGGCTGGGCGCCTGGCCCTGAGGCTCCACTGGCCTGCAGGCCTGTCCCCCCCGGTGCAGACGCTCTCCTTGTCCATCATGCCGGCGCAGACTGCTGCCTGGCGGAAGCAGATCTTCCAGCAGCTCACGGAAAGGACCAAGCGGGAGCTGGAGCACTTCCGGCACTACGAGCAGGCCGTGGAGCAGGTGGGCAGTTCCCGGAGGCACCATCCTTCAGCTGGCACGCACTGAGCGCCTACGGTATACTGTCCCGAAGGGGAGGTGGAGGAGACCGACAGGCATCCATTCCTCTGTCCGCCCAGCTCAGAGGTGAAGCCGTCCCTTCCAGGCCCCATAGATTCAGGGATAAAGACGTGAGTCCAGTCTCGGACTCATCCATCCAGAAGAACTCAGGCCCCATTGTGCTCTAGGCACAGCCTCGGCCCTGGGGACCCAGATACCAGCCTCAGTGGGAGGCGTGGACAGGGGAGGGCTGTCGTCCCCTTCCCCCCGGAAGGAGCCCCAAGAGCCAAGGGGGTGTGGCGTTTGAGACGAGTGAGGACGGGGTCGAGGGCTGGCCTGGAGCCCCTCAGGCAGAGCCCAGCCCCTGGAGGCCCGCAGTCAGGGTGGGAGGCCGAAGTTACGCCAAGCACATGGCTCCCTAGGCCTCGGCTGCTGGTCTGGGAGCATCTCGTTGGGGGCTACGCATCGGGCCTCCAGACACAGGCAGACCAGCTGTGGGCCCCAGCTTTGCCACTGGCTCCCTCAGTGACATTGGGTCAGGCACAGAACCTCCCCGAGCCTCAGTTTCCCCATCTCGAGCATGGGGTAAGAGTGCCGACCCCACAGGCTATTTGAGAATTAGGAGGGTGTGCAGAGACAACACTCACCTGGGGTGTATGGTAGTGCTACCCTGGTCATTAGGGGGAAGTTAGGGAGCTGGGAGCTGGGTACGCACGGGGCCAGAGTCCGGGGCCCCAGGGGCCTGCCTGTGACTCTGTCCTGTGCCCTTGGGGCGTGTGCCGCAGTCGGTGTGGGTGAAGACAGGGGCCCTGCAGTGGTGGTGTGACTGGAAACCCCACAAGTGGGTGGACGTCCGCGTGGCCCTGGAGCAGTTCACGGGGCTCGACGGGGCTCGGGACAGCATCCTCTTCATCTACTATGTGGTCCACGAGGAGAAGAAGGTGTGTGGGGGGCTCCCGGGGGAGGGGGGCCCCAGGGCCGGGCCTGGGACACCGGCCCCAAGGTGCTCAGTCGGGGACCGTGTCTGGCGCTGGGTCAGTGGCCGGCAGGTGCATGGAGTCCCCTGCTGCAGCGTCAGCGAGCCCTCTCCTCACCGAGCCGCTGACAGCCCCTGGGGTTTCAGCCCAGGGACTTAAAGCCCCTCCGCCCTCCCAGTGCTGGGGTTCGAACCCAGTCAGTTGGGTTCTCGAGTGCTCTTGTCGACATCGAGAATGTCACGAAGGCACGTGCTCATGAACTAGGCTTCCCTGCTGAGCACGCGTGGCCCCAGAGCCCACCACTCGAACCCACAGGCCCCGGGGACCCCTAGGACTGGCTCTCTGGAACCAGGGGGTCCCAGGCCATCCCTGTACCACCACCACAGCAGGGGCTCCACCCAGAGGCCTGCTCTGCCCGCAGCCCCCCGGGCCCCCCTCTGCCCCGGTGACAGCCCTGCCCTCCGCCCTCCGTAAACAGTACATCCACGTGTTCCTCAACGAGGTGACGGTGTTGGTCCCCGTGCTCAATGAGACCAAGCACTCCTTCGCCCTCTACACGTCCGAGAGGACGCGGCAGAGGTGGCCTGTGCATCTGGCCGCTGCCACCGAGCAGGACATGAATGACTGGGTGAGCGCACATGACCGACGGGCCGGGCTCCGAGGGCAGTGGTCCTGGGCCCGCCCCCCGGCCTCGGCCTGCCGCCTGCCCCCTCCCAGCGCTGACCGGCCCTTTCCCCACGCCAGCTCGCCCTGCTCAACCTGTCCTGCTGTGAGAGCCGGAGGGTCCACGGCCGCCCCTCCCCACAGGCCATCTGGTCCATCACGTGCAAGGGGGACATCTTTGTAAGCGAGCCCAGCCCGGACCTGGAGGCCTCCGAGCACATGCTGCCCTGTGACCAGATGTGAGTCAGCTCTGCCCCGGACTAGCCCAGGGCAGCCGGAGGCGGGGGTTCTAGAAGGAAGGGCCTCGCTGCCCGCTGGCCAGCCACAGGAATGGCCGGCTGGTTCCCAGGGCTTGAGTCTTCCTGGGCCTGTTGGAGGACCCCAAGGGGGACCAGAAGCCTGGCAGGGCGCAGGCACATGGGTGCCATTGAGTAGGTGCCGTGTGTTGGGGGGCAAGGTGGGGGGTGGCTCTGTAGGTGGCAGGGGATACGATGAGGGCGCCCGCAGGGGGCGCTGGTAGCCCCGTTCTGGGGCATCTGGCAGTTAGTGTGGGAAGGCAGATGGGGACCCAGGAGGAGACACAATGCTCCCAGTTCTGACCGAGGGCTTCCCCTAGGTCCCCCTGAGCCCCTGAGGGTAAGGGGGAACGTAGGTGAGACTGGGAGGCCCCACTCAGGAGGGGAGAGTGGGTGCATGAGTCCACCCTTCATTCGTCCATTCTTGGAGGCCCTGGGCGTCCCGCACCCGGACGGACAAGTCAGACGGCCTCCGGGGACAGTGGGCAGGACCCTGCACTCTGCACACACCTGGGAGGCTGTGCTGTGGCCCCGCAGTGTGCTGGCCCGAGTCATGGCCCATCCAGATGAGAGGGCCCTGCCTTCTGCCCCCACATGCCCAGCCCAGACCCCCAGGGGCCATGAGGAACGGGGGCTGCTGGCTCGACCCCTCACCCGCAGACCCCGAGTCTCCTGCACCCATCCTGGGGCCGTGTTACCTCCGATCACTGCCAGATGGGAAGCCAGGCAGGTGCCACCGTCCTTAACACAGCCCACCAATCTGAGACCGAAGAGGAGTCAAAATTGGATGTTCAAGGGAGGCCAGTGAGCCAAAGGTGCTGCAGGGGTAGAAGACTGGCAAGGTGTGCCGGGGCGCGCGTCTCCGTGACCTCTCTCCGCTCGCTCCAGGTTCTGGCGGCAGATGGGAGGCCACCTGCGGGTGGTGGAGGCCAATGGCCGGGGTGTGGTGTGGGGCATCGGCTACGACCACACGGCCTGGGTCTACACCGGCGGCTACGGCGGAGGCTGCTTCCAAGGTGAGAGCGGCCTGGACACGGAGGCTGGCAGGACCAGCTCCCCGAGCCCTGCCCACAGCCTTCCCCGGGCCAGTCCCTCCTCTAATCCCACCTGGCTTCCCTGCCCCACTCCGGGCCCACTGTCCCAGGGTTGACTCTGAGCTGACAGCGGCTGACAGGTGACCTTCACCACAGCCAGCCTCCACAGAGGGTGGTCCCGGGGCCAACCCTCCAGGTGTGAGAGCCCAGAGACCAGGCCTGGCCTCCAATGCGCCTTCCTGGGCACCCGCAGCTGAGCTGGGGGCCTTGCAGGTTCTAGAAAGGCAGCTGCCAGAGCCTCCCACTGTGTCCCACCCCTCACTTCACAGATGGTGCCTCAGGGCACATTGGGGTGGCCCCAAGACCTGGGTCTCCTGATTCCCAGGCCTGAATTCTAGCTCCTGAATAGGTGGGTCGTGCCTTAGGGGATGAGACCTTGCCGAACCCCTGTTGACTCCCCAAGTTCTGGGAAGCAAGGTCCTGTGTCTCCTCCTGGGAAATGCAGGCAGAAACAGACTCTGGAGTGGAAAGTTCCAAGCCACAGCCCACATGCCCTACAGTGAGGGACGGCCAATCCTGGAGAACCAGGTGTGGTCCACTAAGACCATGGGAACTGCACATCTTCCTCATTTGTGAGGCAGGAATTACGTTTGTCCCCATTTTACAAATGTGAGGAGATTGGGGCTGGTGGACGTTATGTGAGTGTTAATAAGGTTGGAGCTGGTGGGGCCCCCCACCTGCCTGGTGCCTGGTCGGTAGGAAGACAGGGAGGGAAGAGGGGCAGCCAAGAACAGGGTGTGAGACACAGGAGCTCGAGGTGGCGTGGACAGGAGATGTAATGCGCTGTAGGTCTGCTCATGGAGGAGCAGAATAATCACGCAGCGAGAACCCCAAGCCAGGCCCGTGAACCCCTCTCTGCTGGCCCTCCCTGCCCACTCTCTGCGGCCTTCAGGGCTTCGAACGGAAGCCTGAGTCCCCAGCCGGCAGCCTCCTCTCCCCCCAGGCCTGGCCAGCAGCACCAGTAACATCTACACGCAGTCGGACGTGAAGTGCGTCTACATCTACGAGAACCAGCGCTGGAACCCCGTCACGGGCTACTCCAGCAGGTGAGCGGCTCGGGCGCCAGTCAGGGGCCTGCCCGGCCCAGGCCACGGTCTCGACGGGAACACAAAGACGGTCTGCGATGGCCTCACCGTGGGGTCCCCGAGGGCCATCCGGCTCATCTAAGCTCCGCTCTGTCTCAGACGGGAAGATCGCTCATGACCGTTCAGTGTCGCACCTGCGGCTTGAGGGATTTCCTTGTGTGTAAATATTTGTGGGTTTCTCCGTTCACCCCAGTGAATTAGGGTTTGAGTTTTGCTGAGGCAGTTGAAACACGGTGCCAAAGGATGTCCCAGAGACCTCTGCGTGGCTGTGTGTCGTGTCCCTGCAGAATGCTGACCTGCTTGCGTCCCTGCTTCCTCCTCAGTCCTTCGGAAGAGGGACAGGGCAGCCGCGTGCTCTCTGGTCCCCTCAGAGCGTGCACACCGAGGGCCATGGCTCCTGCCACGTGAGCCTCATGGCCACCTGCCCGACACCATCATGTGGGGCCTGTCGCTCTGTGTCTGGGGTGGCTCGGCTCCTGTCACCAAGCACCATGCACTGGGCAATCTTAAACGATGGACGTTCGTTCTCTCCGCATCTTGAGGTTGGGGCGTCTAGAACCAAGGTGTGGGCAGGGCCGCTTCGCTCTGAGGGCTGTGAGGGACAGTCCGCTCCCAGCCTCTCTCCTGGAGGCCTCAGCTGTCCCTTGGTTTGTGGCAACGTCCCTCCCGTCTTCACATCACTTTCCTTATTTGGGAAATTTGAACTCAGCAAGGACACTGTCGCGTTGGTTTAGGGCACACCCTAAGGGCTCCATTCTGACTTGATCACCTGCAAAGACCTTCTTTCCAAGTAAGGTCACACGGGTACTGGGGATAAGGCTTCAACATCTTTTGGGGGCATAGCGACCCGTAAGAGGGGAAGAGGTGGGCTCTCAGCCTCAGGCGGGTGGCCTGGCCGCAGGGGTCACCCGGGCTCCCATGTGACAGCGGTCAGCGGGTTGCTGTCCCCACCCCGGGGCAGTTCTGGTTTTGCCCCTCACCCCTTTGGAGATGCAGGTGTCCCGGGTGCTCACGTCTATCACCAGCTGGTGCTGGCCCGTCTCTCCTCTTCCAAGTCACCCCACCACCGCCCCCGTTGTCCACCGCAGGGGTCTGCCCACCGACCGGTACATGTGGAGCGACGCCTCGGGGCTGCACGAGTGCACCAAGGCCGGCACGAAGCCCCCATCCCTGCAGTGGACCTGGGTGAGCTCCGGGCTGCAGGGCGGGGTCTGGCGCTGGGGCCTGCCCATGCTGATCCACCTCTCCTCCAGGTTTCTGACTGGTCTGTGGATTTCAGCGTTCCCGGGGGCACGGACCAGGAGGGGTGGCAGTACGCCAGTGACTTCCCTGCGTAAGCATCTCTGCGTGGGGAGGGGCCCTTGCCCCGTGCCAGGCGGCACCCTGGCCCCATGCCCTGCCATCCCGGGTCGCTCCAGCCCCCGCAAGCCCTCGGGTGTGGCCGAGGAGCAGACCCCTGTATGGCCACCTCGGCTGCCGGCAGGGTTTGGAGCCAGTCTGAGCTGAGCTCAGGCCCGCCCACCTGCCATACCTAGCTCAGCGTCAGGCTCAAGGAGGACTGCCATGGCTCCCTCAGCACCCCGCTGTTGTCCCTGCTGCACTGGCGGAGGGTTCTGGGGGGGCCAGCCCGGGACCTGGTGCCCTGGGTTGCTTGATCAGGGGTGGCTCTGGGGAGCTTTGGGCCAGGGCCTGGGTGATGGGCGCGGGTGCTGGAGGGAGGTGTCAGGTGAAGAGGCAGCTTGAACAAAGTGTGGAGTGAGGCCAGCGCCGTCCTGAGAAGCAAAGGGAAAAGTGGGTAACAGGTCCACAAAGCCGGGAGGCCCTGGTGGCCAGTGGGCACATGGCATTGGTGGGCAGCAGGCCCTTCACGGGGCACAAGTCACATCCATGTGGAAGACAGAGCTGTGGGAGCCCGAGCCAGGGCCTCTGAGCAGGCCCAGGCCCGGGAATGAGGCAGGTGTCTCGGATGGGTGAACCCACAGGCATCCCCTCCAGCCATAGCCAAGCCTCCTGGACTTGACCCTCCCCTTGTCTCTGGGCCTCAGCTCAGCTGTTCCCCGGAAGGGCTCTGATGGGCCTGGTGGCAGGGAGGGGGGTGGTGGCTCAGAGTTCCCCCCTTGCTAGAACCCCTGGTCTGGCAGCCTCCACATCCTGGCCCCTGGAGACCCTGACCCCGGGGAGGCCTGAGCCCCAGAGACGCCGGCCAGGCAAGCCTTGTGCCCTGTGACCCCTGCTGCCTGAGGAGCCTACTCTGTGGCTCACACGGAGGCTCTGCCCTTAACAAGTGGAGAAAGAATGTGTGTGTGTGTGTGTGTGTGTGTGCACGCAGGGTCCCTTTCCGGAAACTTCCACAAAGTGGTCTTGATTTTGGTTTCTTTCTTTTGCAGCTCATACCATGGGTACAAAACCATGAAGGATTTTGTCAGGAGAAGGTGCTGGGCCAGGTAAAGATGGGAGTGACATGGTAACTGGGGGCTGTGAGCCTGCCCCTCCCACAGGGCCCTCCTGGGCCAGTCTGCATGGAAGCAAAGCAGAGAGAGAGGTGGGAGGGCAACAGAATCAAAGTAAATGTCAGCCCAGGAAGTGCCCCTGGGCTCCCAACGCTCTCTGGTTTCTGAAGTTTGTTTTCAAGAACAAATAAGAGAAATGTCACTGGCAGGCTCTGCTCTGAGCAGGACAGGCAGGTCGGGATGGGAGGCCTGGCTTGGGGCAGGGCAGGGTGGGGCCGCCGGTCCAGGCCCCTCATTCCTGACCATCAGAAAGGGGTGCCCACTTAGGTGCTGGGGGTGGTCCTGGCCCTCCCCACCAGGCTTGCGCGGAGGCCGTGTGGGCTGAAGGGTGGCCCACTGCAACCACCTGCAGCCTCCTGCCTACACGCCTAGAGCAGGTGGCCTGCCATAGCATCAGACCCCTGGGTTCTGCTCTCTTGCACTGTGCAGAAAATGTAAGCTGGTGACCAGTGGGCCCTGGCTGGAGGTGGCCCCTATCGCCCTTGGGGACGTGTCCATCATCCCAGAGAGCCCAAGTACCGACAGAAGCGGGCACAGCATCGCCCTCTGGGCCGTCAGCGACAAGGGGGACGTGCTGTGCCGCCTGGGCGTGTCAGAGCTCAACCCCGCGGTGAGCACCCTGCCTCCGAAGGGCCACTGGGCCTGCCCACCTGTCAGCCCTTGGGCCCTCCTGGGGTTCTGGCAGATTCTTCCCAAAGGTGAACTCTGGACTGAGGTCCAGCTGGGCTCAGGCCTCCCGGGGCCTGCCCAGGACAGTCCCTGGAGCAGGTGGACACTATAGGTGGCCCGAGGGGGTCACCAGCTCCTGGGACCTTGGGCGGGGGGAGGGGCAGAGGCTGGACCCCGGCAGCCTCAGTGTCCACCCTGGCTTCCATCCCCAGGGCTCCTCCTGGCTGCACGTGGGCACCGACCAGCCCTTCACTTCCGTCTCCATTGGGGCCTGCCACCAGGTGTGGGCCGTGGCCAGGGACGGCTCTGCCTTCTACCGAGGCTCCGTGTCCCCCGCGCAACCGGCTGGTGAGGAGGGTCCCCGCCAGTTGTGAGTGGGGACGGGGGGTGGCCAGGGCTGGTCAGAGCGAGGCTGCACGTGCTTCTGCTTCTGGAGGAAGGAAGATGGTTCTCTTCATGTTCAGTTCAGCTGGACAAGCGTGGGGCCAGTGCTGCCTGTGGACCAGGCACTGGGGCCAAGCCAGGACGCCCCAGAGGCCTCGCCCCCTCCTGCTGGGACCTCTGGGACCAACTGGGGGGCGGTCATCCCAGTGACGGGGCGGTCCCTTGCAGCCGCCCTTCACTAGCCTTGGCCTCCAGCGCAGGGCATCGCTGGTTGTGGGCACTTCACACGTCCTGCCATTCGGGGCGCCCCCCTGGGATGGCCCTGCATGGCCTCCTGACTGCTCTACAGCCCTCTGGGCATGCAGGCCGTGCTGGCTTGTTCTTGGCTGGATGTCGGAGGTCCAGACAGACGGGTGGTGGCTTACACGTTGCTGCCCTCCACACGGGGACGGGCCATGTGGCAGTGGTGGTGCGTGGTGGCCCCAAGACGGGCTGTCCACCACGTGCCAGGCTGAGCACCTTGGTGTCTCTGTTCCGAGATCGTCCCATTGGCCCCCACCGTCTGGAACCCGCCACAGCCTCTGAGGGCCCTGGGCGAGGTGGGGTGTTGGAGGTTTTGCTCTGCTTGGCCCTCAGCTCACACCGGGCCCTGTCACGTGTGTGTGGCCCGGCTGGCCTGGGGACAGAGGCCGGCCATACCTGCCTCAAGCCTGCGAGCCGCAGGGGAGGCCACGTGGTCCACGAGCACATGGGGTGGCAGGTTTGGGGTCGCCGGGCCACACCCTGAGTCTGACCTTGTGCCGCAGGCGACTGCTGGTACCACATCCCGTCCCCTCCCAAGCAGAGACTGAAGCAGGTGTCCGTGGGGCAGACGTCGGTTTACGCCTTGGACGAAAACGGCAAGTTGTCTCTGATCCTCAGTGGTCACCAGGGGAGACTAGGACGTCCCTGAGCACCCTAGTGGGACGAGACCCTCACCAGGGCCCGGTCCCTGACACAAGAGCTTTGTAAGCCACCATGAGAGGCCGTCAGCCTGAGGTCAGCCTCCAAACCAGTCCCTGTCCCCAGCTGTGCGGGCCGGGGGGGCGGCAGCTCTGCCCCCTGGGCAGCCTGGGGCTGGCGGAGGTCAGCCGCCTGTGCCGCGCGGGCAGGGCTCTCGCCGGTTCCCTTTTGTGCTTTCCGGCTGTCGTTGTGATGAGCAAGGCCGGGAAAAGGGCAGAGTCGGGACTGGAACCAGGGCTTTGAGTCCAGACCCTGTTCTCTGTATTTGTTTAAAGAATTCCTTGTCCTCCGTTTCTCATGCGTAGAGAGCACGACGATACCAGCCCAGCCCAGCAGGGCGATTCTGAGGCTCAGGTGGAGTCCGGCGTGGAGAGCGGAGAGCTGGCTCCAGCCCCGGCTTTTCTCTTCCTGGGTCGGCAGGAGCCCCAGCAAGTGTGGGGACAGCCGCCTCTGTCTCCATGGCCAGACCCCGAAGTGGGTCCCAACACTCTGGGCCCTTCTCTCTCCAGGGAACCTGTGGTATCGCCAGGGGGTGACGCCCAGCTACCCGCAGGGCTCCAGCTGGGAGCACGTGTCCAACAACGTGTGCCGAGTGTCCGTGGGGCCCCTGGACCAGGTCTGGGTGCCCGGGGGGGGGCGGGTACGGGGCAGGGGCCGAAAGCGGATGCTTGCTCTGGGGGCTTGGGGTGCTCCAGGTTCCCGCTCTGGTCTCCCCGCTGCCATCCCCACAGTCCCACCAGAGCTGGGGGCTGGGCCCTCACCGGGTCTGTGTTCCAGGTCTGGATTATCGCCAACAAGGTCCCGGGGAGCCACAGCCTGAGCCGGGGAACCGTGTGCCATCGCACCGGCGTGCAGCCTCGACAGCCCAAGGGCCAGGGCTGGGACTACGGCATCGGGGTGAGCAAGGCCTGTGCGGGGCGGCTTACCTGGCCCCAGGGCGGGGTGGTCACCGTGGGTGGGTAGGAGGCCCCAGACAGCCCCTCGGGGGTCCTTGATCTCCTGCAGTCTGGAAGCATGGTCTCTCCCCTTGACCCTGGCAGCCACGGGTGACGAGGCTCTCTCTTTCCAGGGGGGCTGGGATCACATCAGCGTCCGGGCCAATGCCACCAGAGCCCTCAGGAGCAGGTCCCAGGAGACAGCCACCGGGTGGAGTGGGGAGCCGGGCCTCCCCAGCACGCCCTCAAGGGCGGCCGGAGCCCCGCACGAGGCCCGCGGCCCCGTCTGCTGCTGAGGCCACTCACCTGAAGCAGGTTTCATGCAGGTGTGAAGGATCAAGGTTGATACGTGAGCCTAGCCTTCCCGTCTGAGCCATTCTTAAATGTGGATCCTGGAGGGAACCTGGCCTCAGGTCACGGCCACTTCAGAGGCACTGGCTGAACCAGCCCAGAAATGTGAAGCTTTGTGGATGCTCTCACACGTGTCCCTGTCTGCAAGGAGGGCCACGGAGCGGGCTGGGGGCCCCTTCACCCCAGTCTTTCCCACCTGTCCCTCCCCAGTCTGCCTCCCGCCTTTCCAGAACGGGAACGTGGAGCCGTCCAGGAATGCTACCCCAGGGAAGCCAATTCCACAAAACCCCCAGTGTCCCCAAACAGATGGGGTACGCCCTCCCTCCCCCCCACAAAGAAAATGGCTGTGGGGCTCAGGGCCACTTTGCACTGTTCTGGGAGGCTTTTCTCAGAGCCAGACGCGAGAATACGATTTAATTTCAGAAGTTAAGTGAGAGTTGGCAGCTTGGAAGGAAAGGCTGGGGAGGGGTGTCTTTCTCCTGGGTGGGCACAAGCCCCTGGCAGGGCTGGGAGAAGTTGCGTGCAGAACTTGCTGGCATTCACCCCAGCCAGCCTCCCCTACCCCGCCCCGCCCCCGTGTCTGATCAGGCGGTAGGGGCCGTGGGGACATGGGGTGTGCCGGCCGCAGACCCAAGCCCTACACACCAGGGCAGGAGCCCTCTCTCCAGGCCGGTAGGAAGGCACCTCCCATCCTGCAGCTTCTCTGCTTTTTTTTTTTTTTTTTTTAAGATTTTATTTTTAGGTATCTCTACATCCATCATGGGGCTCAAACCCACAACCCTGAGATCAAGAGTCGCAGGCTGTACCAACTGAGCCAGCCAGGCACCCCTTCTCTGCTGCTGCTTAAGTGATTACGGCCCCCTTTGGTGAAGCCTCAAATGTGCTTCCTGCAGCCAGACACTTTGCCTGGAGGGTGTGGGAGCCCAAGTTGGCCTCGCTCATTTGGGGACAAAACGAACGGCGGACTCCAGCCTTCCCTGGAATTCCCATCAGGAGGGGTCAGGGTGGGGCTTGTCAGCAGAGGGTGACTCAAAGGAGGTCTCCTCTGAGGCCCCCTCCTGCAGGGCACTGGAGGGGGCTGAGGGTCTCTACGTTTGCCGGGAATTGTGGAGGTGCGACCGGGAGGTGCGAGTGTGGGCTGGAGACGCTGTCCTGGGTGTTCACACCTGTCAGGTTGTCTCCAGATGGGCACTGCGGGTTTCTTCTACAGCAGTGACCTGCCATTCCGCGGTGACTTGCTGTCCGTGGCTGGGCCACTGTGTCCTCGCTGCTGAGCGCCCACCGTCTTCCTGCTCAGCACCACTGAACCATCTCGATTCCTTGGATGCTTTAGTCAATAAAAACTCACGCCGGAGTGCAAAGGACGTGCCAGTTTTTTTATTGCTACCTTGTGATGAAAACGCACAGTTCCCCATGAGTGTCCAGCCCGGGGCCACGGTAGCAGTCGTGGTAGAATCTTTTAATTTTGTTTTATGACACAGCATTGGTTTCATTAGTACTCTGAAGGGACCATTAGGAGAAATCAAAGCAGATTTGGGTCACTTAAGAAACATTTTTACCACAATTACAGCAGGGGCACTGGCCATTCAGTTCCGGGTAGGTTTTCCCACACAGAGAAGTCGCAGTTCTGGTTTCTCGGCTCCAGTCCGCGGGGATCTCAGCCTCCAGAGCTCATGCAGGTCTGGTCTGCAGGTCGGTGTGAGGCCCAGGGTTAGTGGGTCGCTGGCTTTGGGCGCCCTTGCAGGGCAGGAGGGCCCAAGACAAAGGCCGAGGGAGCAGACCCAGCAGCAGGCCTCACTGGCCCGTCACCAGACCTTTCCCCTCCCCTGCCCCCCATATTTAACACCCCAAAGCTCGACTGGGACCTTTAAGGGTCTTTTGTGATGAGGCCACAGGGGAAGAAGGACCAGACATCTGGGCCCAGGTCACCCTCTGGGCAGCAGAGTGGATGCAGGTGCCAGTTGGGGACAGAAGGAGCTCTGAAAGCTGTCATCTGCAAGGTGGTGACCCACAGACCCTCACACGCCCCCCTGGTCATCGGGCACGGTCTCCCGGACAGAGCCTCTGCTGGGCGCCCCCCCGCCCCAGTGCCCTCAGCTCAGCCTGTCGGTTCCTTCAGCCAGTTCGGGGGTGCACTGAGCTCCGCACGCCTTGTGTTGGGTCCCGGCCAGCAGGGCACCCACGGGGAGCATGGGCCCCATCAGTCCCGAGCTCCAAGCGGCCCCCGACCATAGGCAGGATGTCCTGACCACGGACTTTCCTGAGTGGCCGCCTCCGGGGGACAGGCCAGGAGCACCTGGGTCCCCACCTGACCGTGCTGAAGGATGGCTGGGGCCAGACCAGGCCTCCCAGGGCCACACTCCAGAGGGCCTGGCATGGGGCCTGCGGAGAGTCCAGCCAGTGTCCGACCTGGAAAGTGAGGACCGACGCGGCTAATGGCTGTTCGGCTCTCTGCTGTCCTTGATGCTGACACCAAGACTGGCAGTGGATTAGGCGGCTGGGGCTGGGACCACCGGGGTTGGGAGGGCGGGAGGCGGCCCTCCGCTGGGGCAGCCCTGCTCCCATGCTGCTCGGGCCCCCACCCAGGAGGGGCTTGGCCCCCCAGCGCCTCGGGGACAGCTCTGGCCTCAGATGCCAGGCCACCCCTACCCTCACCACAGCCCCTGTCACTGGGGTTCCTGCCTGAGGCTGCCAAGGTTGCCCTGGCCCCTCCCCATACTGGCTGTGGGCACAGGGGTGAGGGAGGAGAGATGCCAGGGGGCGTTGAGAGCCAAGTCGCCAAGCCTGTCGCCACAGAAGGAAGCTTGGCCCGAGGCAGCCAGGGACCTGGCAAACTGCCCGGGCCTGCCCTGAAGGAGCAGCACCAGGCGGGGGAGGGCAGCTCCTGCCATCCCAGGCTCCTTCCCACAGAAGAGCCCTGCCGGGCCCCCAACTCCAAGCAGGGCCCAAGGACACCCTGAAGTCGTGTCAGACCGTCCTCTGCCACTGACACGACCCCGGCAGTGACCAGTATGATGGGTGGGACGCGGAGGGAGGCAGCGACTCCCAGACCTGTCTCCGGCCCTGAGCGCCAGGCCGCGTTCCCCTCCGCAGTCAGGAGCCCCCACCCAGGCGGAGGTAGGAAAAGGTCTGAGCCGCTCTTCCTGCCAAGGTCCCTTTGGAATTGATTTGAGGTAATCGGATTAGTATTTCTAGGGGTTTTGGGGTTTCTATCTGACACATGCTGAATTACACGCCTCAGTCATGTCTGCTTAGCCACACTCCGTGGCCGTGGGCTCTGCTTGCTCTGTGCCTCAGTTTACCCCGAACGAGGAGGCTACATCGCAGGCTGGAGGAGGACCCTTCTGGGGCCTGGGCCTCCGCAGTTACTGGGGAAACTTACCCAAACCGACCTTTTCCTGGAATCTCGCCTTGCCTCAGGAGGGAGTTGGGAGTGAAGAGAATTTAGTTACAAAGGCCTGTCCGATGGGGCCCTAGTCCATTAAAAAGCAGGTCCTGGGACCTCTGTGGAGCTTTGGGCCTCACGCGGCCCAGAGCCATGGCCTGGACCAGGCCACTCACTGGTCTTGTCCCCTAGAGGCCAGGACGTGCTCCGCAGAGGCAGCTGAGTGTTCAGGGAAAATGGAGCCGCCGCCGGGGCCCACGTCCACGCGGGGTGTTACCACCAACCTGGGGCTCTCGGCGCGGAGGCAGCAGGGCCGGGAGGAGCGGGCCCGGCCGCCGACCCCCAGGCCAGGCACTAGGAGCCCTCTCGGAAGCTGTGGATCTGCGTGGAGTACCTCTGCAGGTGGCCCTCGGGCTGGGGCTCAGTGGTCCCCAGCGCGCCCCCAGCCACCTGCTGCTGCTGGTAGTGCTGGTAGAGCTTGGGGCCCGGCCCATCCAGGCCTGGCAGGCGACCGCTGGACATAGTCAGGATGGTGGAGGTCAGCGACTTGATGTAGTTCTTGGCCAGCGTGAGCGTCTCGATCTTGGAGAGCTTCTTGTCAGCCCGCACGTGCGGGATGACCTCCCGCAGCGCCTGGAACGCGTTGTTCAGCTTGTGCATGCGCTGCCGCTCCCGCTCATTGCTCTCCAGCCGCCGCTGGGCGCTGCTCTCCCGCCGGCCACCGGGCCCCGAGGGCCCCGGCCGCCGGCGCCCGCCCTCCGCCCGCGCCGTCCTGCTCCGCAGACCCTTGGCCAGCTCCAGCCCCGACCCCTGCTGGGGCCTGTCCGGGGTCCGTTCCCCTGCGGGGGCCTCTGTGTCCTGCAGGGGCAGCCGGCGCCTGGGGGGCCGGTTCTTGGTCTTCATGGCTCCAGGCTAGTTGTCCCCGCAGGTGGTGGCTCTCAGGGAGGCCCTTGGAACTGAAATCCAGAACACAGGCCACCCTGTGGTCACAAGGCAGGCTGGTGGATGCTTAGGACACCCAGTGGACACTCAGGGCAGCTGTGCCCGGCAGCCCCCTCACTGCCCAGGGGCAGCTGACCACTTGGTGCACAGTGACCCCAGGCCCTTTCCCCCTCACACACGGAAGCCCTGAGCCGAACCCCCACCCCATTCCCGTTTGACCTCAAGGGGATCCCCTCAGACTTTTCTCTGGTGCCCCCTCTCAACTGGACATGGGCTGATCCGGGGACCTTTCCCTGGCCCCCCGCTCCTCCCTGCCCCCTGAGCTTAGGTGGCCTTCAACACTTTTCTCAGACCACCCAGAGACGTGGCGGGACGCTAGCTCAGCGCAGGGTCTGCCTGAGGTTGCCGTGCCTCCCATCTGCCCTGATGGACAGGCGCCCGCTCCAGCCACCTCCCGGACCCGCGGCCCGCTGGATGTCATGTCACACATGCAGGGAAGACACTGGGGCCAGAACCGCTGCGGATATGGGGCAGCTGTCCGCGGTCAGAGGTCGACAGTGGCCCGAGCCTGCCACAGCCCCCAGTCCCACCACGTGGGCGGCCCCCTCCACGTTTCCACCCCCTCACCCCGACCCCACCAGGACCCGCCGCTCGGTCCTCTCCCCTCGGCCCCACCGGGACACCCCACCACCACTTACCTGGAGATCCGCAGCTGCACGCGCCGGGGCTGCCCACGGGGGACAAGGACACGTCGCTTTAGCCGCCCCGGGCGGGGCCGCGGCCGCATGTAAATGAGCCCGCGGGGCGGGGCCGGGGCGGGGCCGGTGTGCGTGTGTCCCTGCCCGGCGCCGGGGGGCGGGGGCGCACCTGCGGGCAGGGAGGCGGGGCGGCGCCCCCCCCGCCCCACTCCCGGCGGCCAGAGCCTGCCCGCCGCGCGGACCCCGGGTCTGGAGCCCATTCGGCGGAGTGGGAGACTGAGGCGTCTGCGAGCCCGCGGGCGCGGAGGGAAGCCCTGGGACCGCGCCTGGCCGCTGCACCTGGCCTTGAGGTGAAGGGTCGGAACGCGAGCCGAAGCCCGAAGAAGAGTTGGCGGAAAAGCCATTTTGCAGTAACACTAGTTTCTCAAAGGGGCAGCAGCCCCCGGGGGCTTCGCGAGGTCCCCCACCCCCCAGCACTCCGCAGGGCGCAGGTCCAGGGACGAGTGGGCGGAGCCCTGCCCCGCCGCTGCGTGCGGGTCACGGGGACCTACGTGGTCCGAGGTCTCCCGAGGTCTCCAGCGGGGCGAGAGGTGCTCAGCTTGGGCTCAAACCCGGCTTCCATCCACCTGCTTTGCTTAATCGCCGGCCTGCCTGCCACAGTTTCCTTACCCTTCACAGCAGCCTGAAAAGGTGTTAAAAGCAGCCTCTGGCTTAGGGGTTCTTCCAGGCTGATGGGGCGCACCTGCAGTGCCGTGAGGTCCCGCGTGGGCCTGGCCTCCCGCCCCTTGTGACCAGCAGGATCAGGGTCAGCGCTGATCTCGCACTTCTCCGAGGGGCTCACAGGGGTGCTCCTAGTCTCCATCCAGCCCCTGAGGGTCTCGGGGGAGTTGGTGGGACCGAAGTCGGGGCCAGTCCTGCTTGGTAGGAGGCTGTTACTGCGCTCTTGGCGGCTGGGACGGGAGCGAGGGCCACTGAGGGAGGCTGGTGCTGAGCGGATTAGCCTCTTGGCTTATAGCTCAGTAGAGGCTGTTATCTCAGAAATTAAAATGCTTCCGAAACTCATCAATAAAGGCTTCCAATTACAGATACACTTTGAGGCAGCACAAGCGTGACATTTGCAAGTTCAGTGTTTCAGTGATTATACAGACTTTCGTGTTCTCAGGAGCGTGGGGGATGTAGGTCATGGAAAAGGGCACGCTTTCTCTAGACCCGGGCAGTGAGTGACCACTGCAGGGCATTGCCAGGTCACCAGCCCTGGGCCTCGCAATAGCAGGGGTAAAAAACAGGAAAGAAACGCAGCAACAGAGTTTATAAATATATAACTATATTTATTTTGAATATTAAATAGTTTTTAAATTACAAGCAATTTAATCACACTATGCATCAATATACAGTAAAAATCTTACAATTTAAAAATGTACACAATTTAAACTGAAAGTTCATTAGCTGTGATATTGCCGTGAACCTCTCACAACTGTGTTAAAGCACAACAGGGAAGCTGCGTGGGTGTGACTGCCCCCATGGGTCCTCACTTGCAGACCGGATTCAACAGTGGACGCACACACCGGCCCATTGGTAAGGTCTGCCTGCGCTTGTGTGAGCCTGAACAACCTAGTTCAAGCCCTTTGGGTAACAGGTTGTTAGTAGTTCAGTACTGTCTACGCATCTTTCAGAATTTACCTGTGTACTAAAGAGGAGTTTGTTAATAGCCAAAACTGGAGCCAGCCCCGCTACTATCAGGAATATTGTTTATGGGATTGAAATCTGAAGTAACTGAGTTACCCATTCTTATTTTAAGGCTACTTCTCATAAGGCTATTATTCTGAAGCCCCTATCACCGAAGCCCAACATTCGGAGCCTAACACTGGGTTCACTTCCGGAACTGTCAGATGGTGGGCTGAGTAGGGTAAAACCAGGAGCTGCCTCCCTCGCGCCCCGGGGCCCCCAGGACAGACATGCAGTAAGTCACTAATCCTACAAGTACCCTATGGAAAATATGAATATGAGGGAGTGGGTTCTGAAAGGCGTTTTACGGCAGCAAGACATACAAAGACTTTTCTAAGATAAAACCCATTTCTATAGAAACAATCACCTGTACATTTAAAAATAGAACGAATGCTCTGTTTTCAATTCAGCTTTGCGGAGCTTCTTCACCCTTAAGATGAATGGCTTCTTACCCAGACGCACAGTCCAAGTTCCAAAAGGATTTGGGGAGCACTTTTTATTTTTTTACATTTCTTTTTCTGACTTATGACAGGATCGTTTGATAACACAAATTAACATCTAGCTAGGAAGGAAATGAAGGTTCTTTTTATTACAGGATTTAAAATACGTAAACTCCACCAGAGTAGCACAAATTAAAACCTGATAGATTCCAAAGAAGGCCAGGAAAATACCACTGTGAACCAGGTATTATTAACCTCACCCATATTATCTGGAGAATTCCACTGATTTATTTCATTGCATAACTTATCAGAACAAGTTCGGTCTGAAAACCCACTATTGGTAACCAACGTAGTAAAAAAAAAAACAAAAAAACAAAAAGAAAACCTGACTTGAACAACAAAGCACATGCTGACACTTCAAAGATGGGCCAAAAATTCTAATCTACATAATTGGTTTCCCGTGTATTGCTTGAGATTTCAAAAGAACATGTTGACTCACATGTTTATTATAAATATAAAATCTTCCCCACCATGCAACACCACAGTAAGATTTACTACTCCAACCCACCCCCCCAACTCAATGTATAAAATGCTTTCTTTTGGCAATTAATCATGACAGCAAGATAGACCTAAAATAAATTAAAATGGGAATTAGGTTGTTAAAATCTCCTTAATCATAGTGAAAAAGGTACAGCCCCCAAATATCAATAAATTTATCCCGGGCTGATTATACAAGAAGACTATATATTCTATGGATCTGCTTGACTTTAGTCATTAAATCTGAACTCGTTATAGTTTGAAAAAACTTGTATTAATTATCACCTCTCATGTATCTCTCAACAAAGACTGAGAGTTAGATGTAAAAATTCAGGAAACTCAGGAAGTCCTCATAGCAAGAAATTCAGAGTTATGACAGTTTTGGCAAAATCACCTTCTAATGCCCTATTAACTTTTCCTTGTTCAGCTCCCTGCTCACACCAAGTGGAGGGTAAAGGAGGCTCTTTCTCCATTCTGAGTTCTTGCTCTGGAAAGTTATTGCTAGTATAAAACGTTAATGGAGCGAACTAGAATTGATAATAAAGGTCATAATTTACTTTGTAAACTCTAGCCAGTATACACAACTGCATCTTGCGCTAGGACCAGGGTCGCTGGGATTTCTATCACGCAGCCCCAGTGGACCTGTGTTACGCTGGAGTCGGGGAAGCAAATCAGCACCGGAAAACATTTGGGGTGAAGGGCCAGTGTGGTGACCACAGACCCAACACAACCCCCGACCCCGGTATACACGGCTTCACGGCGGACATGCCAAGCCTCCTTCAACACATGCTGCTCTAGTCCCTGGAAACTTCCTGATGTCAAAGCAGAACTCACAGAGTGCAGAATGAGGTCAGCTTTTTATCATGAACACCCAATTCCTGGCAACATTAGGAGGTGGCGCTGGACACACTCGGTCCTTTTCAAGGCAAGGGGAAAACGTGGTGCTTAATGCAGAAGGGAAGGGTCAGTGCAGATGAGTCCCAGGGCCACATCCGGGTGGGAGGTCCCAACCAGGAGGACGTGCTGGCTGCGCAGGCTCGCCATGGTCTCTCGTCCCTGCTCCCGGCTACGGGATGTAGTGTATCTCCTTGGTTACAGAGCCCGGCCGCCGCTGGCCGTGACACGCGATGGTTCTTCCAGGAAAACGCCAGGAAAAACTCTGGACGTTATTTGAAAGCTCAACACCCAGTGTGTACACACAGAATGAACTCAGACTGTCCTCGGCAACCAGAGCCCTGCGCGGGCAGCTTCCTCCTCAGAGTTTGGCAGCGGCTGAAGGAAGGAGCTCCAGGGACACCGAAGCCCCAGCCGCCTGTGCTTCCAAACACTAAGCAGAGGAGCCGGCGTGAGGGGAGGTGGTTCAGGGGCCACAGCAGAGCACGGCTCCCAGGGAGAGGGGCAGGACAGACACCTGGACGTTGTGACCCGAAGCAGAGTTCTGGGGTGAACCACCTGTCAAGTTTTACCGAAGGGTCTAAAAAAATGGGGGAGTGGGGTGAGAGAATCACACAGAGGGGCTGCAAGACCCTTCAGCTCCTCAGAGAAGCGTCACTTGCTACAAGGAACCTGCGTTATAGAAAGAGACAAACGTATGTTTCATTCGGTCAACAGAACAAAGCAGTCTTTTTGGACTCATCAAAAGTACTTCCTATAAGAACAAAAAACACTAACATTCGGAATCATGTATCATTTACGAAAAAGTACCATATGTACAATTCCAACAATTCTAGACAGCAGAACACTCAAAAATTTAAACTTTACAAGTACCATGCAGAGCAAACAAACTATAAAACAGAGAAAGAAATCAAACTAGTGGATAGCACCAGCTTGACCTGCCTTATTTTCCTTGAATAATTTACGATTCTGTACAATATCAGGTACTCCTAGAACATTTATCCACAGTGCAATTACAGAAAGCAATTAGTGATTTCTTTAAAAATAATAAATATGGCTCACTGGTGCCCATCCCCATAGTGCTCCCCTGGGCTCTCACGCACAGAAGGGATGCACAGGTGTGGAGGCGGAGAACACCCCGCATGGAAAACAACCCCAAGCCTACAGTTCCCCACACACCAGAGCAGGGTCGACGCTCCCCAAGGATGACCAGGGCACGAGCACCTCTGGCGGGTGAGAGCGGCCCAGGGCCTCCCCCGCCGGGCTGCCCGCCGTGGGCACGGAGCCAGCGCGGCCCCGTCCCGGCCGCCTGAGTCTCTCTCCTGGGCCGGGCCCGCTGCAGCCGATGTGGAGGGATGTCACCGCTGGGCTCGGTGCAGGAATGCCGCCCTGGGGGAGCAGCCTGGGACCCGGGAGCACATCCGTGTCCACCTAATCCTTTTCTCCGTCTTCACTGCTTCCTATTTCAGGGAGAACAAGCAAAGCCGGGTTTGTGAAGTGACCGGCACAGATAAAAATAGTGTGGACAGCATGTGACCTGCGCTACGGAAAGAGGAACTGAAGCTGGGAGTGGGGCTGCCCGCCACCTGCTCGAGCCATGGAGCTTCCTGTCACAGCGGCACCTGCCAGACTCTGGCGCACTCTCGCGCACACATCTGCTCAGCTCGCACGCTACTCAGTGTCCGTGCTCAGGGCCCAGGAGAAAGTCAGCCCCGATCTCTGACAGATCCCTAGGTAATGGGCATTATCTAATCGGCACAATTAAACAGAGCACGAGCACAAATGAAAGCTCTTTATGTTTCATAGTTAGTATTTGAACTGCAACCTTCAAATCAAAAAATGTACCTATTAGCATTTATCTTCCAATCGGGTTATGGGGAAAAAAGGATCCATATGTTCAGATAATACCACTTCAAATGCGCCCTGCCCGTGACTTCCCACCCAGGCCTCTGCTATCACACAAGACCAAGACTTAATGGCAAAATCAATATTCCCCGGGAAGAGCCAGAGCACATTTGGGCTCAATCCCAAAATCTCGGGCCAAGTGTTTTTAAGAACGGCTTCTCTCTGGGGGAAAGAAGCAGAAATGGGCGGGGGGTGGAGGGGGTTGTGGCAAAAAGGGAGAAAGGAGAAAAGAAGGTGGCAGACGCGCTGGAGCCAGGCCGCCACCGGGCTGCCTCGCCCGACAGGGGCTGCAAGGGGGCAGCTCGAGTAGCACTCAGTGTGTGGCGTGACGGAGGCCTACACGTGGGGGACGTGGCTCCGAGAGCGTGCGCTCAGGACTGTGAGGGCCTCATAAAAGATTTTCTTACAATCTATGCTGCCAACACTAGGAAGGCACCAAATTGATAAGCACGCAAGTCCAGCAGGGACGGTCTCCCAGGCTGGCCCCCACCTCCTCTCACCTCCTTGTTCGATGTCCGAGTCAGTAAGGTGTGTGAGAGAAAAGCTGGCGATGTTGGCAGGAGAGATGGAGAATCTGGAATACGGCGGTGTGTGAGGCCAGCTCTGTTCCGCACTCCGGGGCGGCGGAGGCGGCGAGAAGTACTTGGATGTCTGAAGAGAAGGCTTAGAACTAAGAAGGTTACTTGTTGTCTTCGGCATAAAAGGGTCGGGGGAGAAGTCATCATCCCATTCAAAGCCTCCACCTAAAAAGAAAAAATAAAAACAGTTCTCCTTTTACAACAGAACAGAGAATCGTAGCGGGGGGGGGAGAGGGGGGCAAGCACACAGGTGTGCCCTGCAGATCAACCAGAACCGACTTGGGCCTGACAGATGGCAGAGCTGCTCCCGGGTGTCTTAAGAGTGTCATTTAAAACAATCTGTGATGTTATCCTCCAAAAAGTTCACCTTATTCACAAAGCACTATTTTTTAGTTTCTTTTTAAACCCATCAGTGAAGTGAGGTACCTTCTTCATCAGTTGAGCTTTCCGAATTTATGCACCTGCTCAGGTAGGGAGAGCCTGAAGAAGGTGCCGGGCTGTTCAACTCAGGGCCACGTGCATCTCCTCCACAGTGCCCCAGCTCTTTGGTTGGGGTCTCCTGAAAAGCCAAAGAGAAATTCCCATCAGCGGAGGCCTGCTCTCCAGAGAGCCCCACCCCCTCCCCCGCTCCAGTGTACACGTGGCAGGCCAGCACTGTGTCTGACCGACAGGGTGGGCTCCGGGCCTGGGGAAGCTGCAACAGGAACACACAGCCCCGTCTCTCCCACCGAAGCAGCTCTGACGCCGCGCAGAATGCATGCAGCAGCTGCCGGAGACCTCCGAAAAGTAAACATAGCAGGCCGGTTGGGAAAGAACGCCAGAACTCAAAGTACACCAACGAAGCCGTGCATCTGCTGTCCTCCCACTGCCCCTGCCTCAACGGCTCCGGGCCTGGACCCAGCACAGCTCGAGATCCAAAGTGGCCACGGCGGTGGACAGAGAGAGCTCCAGAAGCCCTTTGGTTCTGGTTCTGAAGCAGTCAGGAGGTCTTCTGACCCTCGGAGGCTGGGCGGGGGGATTCTACATTTTCCCCCTCCATTCTCTTGCTCCCTAGCCCCGAGCAATCCCGGGGTGACAGGCACCTATATCCTGAGGGAAGTGACCTCCCTCTCCCCCTGGAGGAACTGCCATCCCAGAGAGTGAGAAGCCCAATGCTTGTCTTCCTCTGTCCAGCGGCATGAAGTGAGCAACACAGAGTGCTGACGAAAGCCCCAGCTCTTTGGGGGGGGGGGGTGGGCAAGACAACCGGAAGTACCAGGGACACCATGGAGAGGGAGAAGCTCAGGAAAGCGACCCCATCAAGTTTATGAGCTCCTGCCTTACCTCCGAGCTGCGCGTGGTAGAGCTGACTCTCAACAGCACACCAAAGCTCTAAGAACTGAACTGCAGGGCGGACCATGGCCAAGATCCATCCTGGCCAGTGTGGGGCACATGAAGAGGACAGATTCAAATGGTACAGCAAAAGCTTTGAAAGGGGAACCCAATCCACAGAAGGACGGTTAGAACTTGTGACCTGAATCCCAATGGGTCAATGCCTGCTAGAACAAAAATGTCAGCAGTCTCCTTAGAATCTAAACAAGACACAGAGTCACGTAACACACTAAGGATACAGTCTAAAATCAGTCCGGATACAAAGAATCAGGAAACTCTCAATGCACAGGGAAGAAGACAATCTACAGATACCATGCCAAGGTGACACAGAAGCTGAGATTCTCTGAAAGGCTATCATGAAAACGTTCCTACAAGCAAGAGCAAACGTTCTTGAAATGAACATAAATAGACAAAAGTTTCGGCAAAAGAACAGATGATAAAAATAATAATAAAATGCCAATTTCAAAATAGAAAAATACAGCAGCTGAAACCTAAAAACCCCGTGGATGGACTTAGTATCAGAATGGAGATGACCAAGGGTGAATGAGTTTGAAGGCGATCAACAGAAATGACCCAATCTGAACAACAATGAAAACTGAAGAAAGAGCCAATGGGCCACACACGACAGTCTGACACTGGCATGCCAGCCGGAGGGGACCCGGAGCGTGATGAAAGAAAGCATTCAGGGAAATAATGGCTGAAAGGTTCTTGAATTTGGTGAAAGACATAAGACTACAGATTCAAGATGCTCAGCAAATTTGAAATGGGGTAAATTCAAAGAAATCCATGCCAATAATCAAACTGCTAAGAAGAAAAAGAAATTTTGCAAAGAAAGAAATCCTGGCAGCAATCAGACATAATACTGAGAGAACGGTCAACTCAGAATTCTATATTCAGAGAAAATATCCGTAAGGAATGAGGGAAACGAAGATTATCTGTCAGTAGGTTTGATTTAAAAAAAAAAAAAAAGGAAAAAAAGGCCAAACTTCTTCAAATAGAAGGGAAAGAATCCTAGAACATCAAAAATGTAAAGAGAGAAATGGTAGGGACTGTCTTGGTATACAGAACCCGATTAGTCTCCCCTTGAGTTTTTCTTTTCTTTTCTTATGTTATGTTAATCACCATACATTACATCATTAGTTTTTGACCCCTTGAGTTTCTTAAAACATGTTTGATCGCTGGGAGTAAAATGCGGAGCATTGTCTGATGGGGCTTCAGTGTCCGTGCCTGGAATATACCAGACAACGGTAATAAGGTTTCTGCATTCCACATGAAATGGTAAAGTGCTGACTCTAAATAGATTGTAAAAAGTCAAGTATGTGTATTGTAATCCCCAAAACCACTACAGAAAAACTATACTGAGAGAAGATACACAGTAAAAAATGCGATAGATAAATTCAAAGGTAATACTAAAAAATGCTTAAATTACCACAAAGACGACAGGAAGGAAGAAGCAAGAACCAGAGGAACAAACAGAAACAGTGAACAAAATAGTACGCCAAAATGCAAACAAGACCAATTTTATTAAATGTAAGTGGCCTAAAACCATCAATTAAAAGAGAATTTTTCAGAATAAAGAAACTCTTTGCTATTCACAAGAAACTAGTGTCAACCATAATAATATAATAACACTGAAAGTACAAGGACGAAGAAAGACACATCATGCAAATACCAATCAAGAGAAAACCATGAGTGGCTACACGAGTATCCAACAAAGGAATACAGAAGGACGTTATAGAACAATAAAACAGGTCAGTTCAACCTTTTCAAGAAGATCTAGTGATCTTAAATGTCCATGCAGCTAACAACAGAGCCACAAAACAGAAGAAGCACAAATGAACAGAAATGAAGAGAGAGTCAAATCCACAATCGCAGCTGGAGACTTCAAAACCCCTCCCTCCTCCCTCCCTCTCTCTCTTCTCCCCTCCCCCCACCACAGATGGACTCCTGGCACACAGGAAAATCAGCAGCAGTGTAGAAGAGGTGAACACTATCAACCATCTAGACCTGACAGGCTCTTTCTTTCTTTTTAAAGATTTTTTAAAATTTACTTAAACCAGGGGGGGGGGGGAGGAGAGTGCACACACACGTACATGAGCAGGGGGAGGGGCAGAGGGAGAAGCAGGCTCCCCACTGAGCGGGGAGCCAGATGTGGAGCTCCATCCTGGGACTCTGGGATCATGACCTGAGCCAAAGGCAGATGCTTAACCGACTAAGCCACCCAGGCACCCCTAGGCACATTCTTTCAAGTACACACGGAACATTCACCAAGACAGACCATGGCCTGGCTCTAAAACAAACCTCTGTAAGTTCAGAGGAACTGAAACAATACCAAACCTGCTCTCTGACCTTAACGGAATTAGCCTAGAAATCAATTAACAGGGGCGCCTGGGTGGCTCAGTCGTTAAGCATCTGCCTTCGGCTCAGGTCATGATCCCAGGGTCCTGGGATCGAGCCCCGCATCGGGCTCCCTGCTCTGTGGGAAGCCTACTTCTCCCTCTCCCACTCCCCCTGCTTGTGTCCCTGCTCTAAAAAAGAAATCAATTAACAGATGCAAGAAAATCTTCAGCCCTTCATTTGTAGAGAGGCTGAAGTCTGAGCTCATAGAGCAGTGCTCAGCAGGCACAGGAGGGCGGGAGGGTCTCAGACTCCGCCGCTGCCTGGTCCCAATCCGCAGGGACCACCTGTGGCCAGCACCTCTGGGGCTACCTGTGAGCCATGGACTGCTCCAGCCTGCACCTGCGTGCTGGCTATTGCTGCCAACTGCTGATTATGGAAATTTGATCTGTAAAGAGTAGCTAATTTCAGTAGGACTCTGTCAGCAAATCCAGAAGGGGCATCCAGGTCTCCTTCCCTTCATTTAATAGTTCCCTGTTCAAACTACATTTCTGCATATTCTTGAAACCGTAACCAACCCAAATTCCTGTTTATTTGAGAGAGAGCGAGAGAGAGCACGTACACACGCGAGCAGAGAGGAGAGGGAGAAGCAGGTTCCCTGTGCGCAGGGAGCTCAATGTGGGGCTTGATCTCGGGACCCTGAGATCACGACCTGAGCCAAAGGCAGACGCTTAACCCAGGCCCCCCAAATTCCTATTTTTGAGGAATCATAAAACAGATTGGCGGCCTCAAAACAGCAATCAGGAAAACAAAGCACACTCGATTTCCTGACACACCTTGGAATTCTCTAATATGACAGTTTGGAGGTTAACAGGTACCTGGTCAAACAGATAGACTGTGACATCGTCAAAAAACGTCACCGCCTTCTTTTCTTTTTTCCAGTCATCGGGGAGCTGATCAATGGCAACGGCGGTTGAGGGTTTCAACAGGCTCCGGAGGTGCTTTCCATCCTCGTTGCTGAGGATCACAGGCACGGGATGCTCGGTCTCATCCTCCGACTCAGAGCTGAGGCTGTGCAGGTTGAACGCCCGCAGGTCCTCGTCGGAGTCGTCACTGTTTTCGTCTTCCTCGTCCGCCTCAATGCCGTCCTCAGAGAGGTCAAGCATGCCCGACACACCAAGTTTCCCCAGGTATTTCCCTTCGATATCTGGCTCTTTCAACTTGTGGCCCTCAGCGTGGCCACACAGGGTCTTCTCCACCGTCAGGTCTGACACGCTGCTGGAACAGAGGGTGGCATTTGCAAAGGCGAGGAGCTCGTTGGTGTTGGTGCCAGTGGAGGTGAGCGTGCAGGGGCGCTCCTCTTGTGCCTCGAAGTCATCACAGCTGCTTAGCTCGGAATTCAACAAACTCAAGGGACTGCCAGCCTCGTCTTCAGGAGGAGGTGTCTGCTTGGAAACATCAGCTGGTGCCGGTTCCAACGTTTCTCTCAACTCCAGGTGACTGGAATCTTGCGACACAGGTAGACAACTTTGGTCTGGCTGGCCATGTTTGGTTTCCCGGCAACCGTCCCTGGTGCCAGGACTTTGCTCTGGAATGACTGGCTCTGGCAGGGGCTGATCCGTTACCAATTCCAAGGCTGAAGCTGAGGGTCCTGGGACCCCCTCGGACTTCTTATCCGGCTCAGAGTCATTATCTGAGAAGTAAGCAGAGTCTCGGTATGAGCTCTGAGGGCCAGGTGCAAATGTCTGTGAGGTCACTTCTGTACCTCTGTGCCCATCGGCTGCGTCTGAGATGACGATGACCGGGTTGGGAGGCAAACTGCTATGACCGCTGTCACCTGCTGTGGCCGTCTCTGAGGCTGCGGCGCCGTCAGAAGCAGGGTGCAGAGTCCATTCAGGGGACTCCAAGTTTTCAGTCTCGTAGCCACTGTCTGCAGGCTTATCGGGGGGCAGGAGTTTCTGAGGCGTGTGAGAGCCTAACGAACCCAATAAAACTTCATGGACATCCACTGAATCCAGAGAGTCTGGGGTCTCCACAGACTGTTCTGAAGTCGGAATGGGTGTTGACAAGCTGTCTTCTAAAAGGCTGTCTTGACTGGTTGAGTCCGAGGAGAGGACGGACACCAAGCCCCCCTCTTTTGTAGCATCTTTACAATGCAGCTGACTCAAAGTCTCCACAGCTTCCACGTTTTTCTCCAGCAGACTATTGCTGTGATGGTCTTCTGAAAGGGGCTGGTTTTGTAAGTTCTGTCTCAATTCTGGAAGATTATTTCCTATACTCACCTTATTGGCAAAAAGGTCATCAACAAGAACTGAGTCACTTTTGGTCAGTCTCAAGGCCTCTGGACTTTGGTGGGTCAAGTCATGGGACCTGTCGCCAATGCTGTGTGCTTTGGCATCAGTTGAGGGGATTACAACTGTGACGGCCACAGAGTCTGGACTGATTTCTTGGCAGAGACGGTCTTCATGGACACTGACATCTGAACATGTGGGTTCTCCCTGCTTCAGGAACATATCTGGAGGTACATGATGAGGTGTTCCTTCTGTTTCGAGAGAGGTAGGAGGTACCTGCACTTCTGGGGAAGACTGTGATGAGGTATTCAAAGTGTTGTCCTTGAACACGACACCTGTGTCTTTACCTTTTGCGCTTACGTTTTCCTGCAACAAAGAAAAGCCTGGTTTATTTTCAGCAAACTTAACCTCAGGATCTAAAGAATTTCTACGTGGAGTTTCTAACATTGTTTCAGTGAAGCCAGCGTTTTTAAGTTCTGTTTGAAGATCATTTACATGTTCTTTGCTAGACAATGAGTCTTTTAGTAAGTTTTTCTCTTGAAGAAATAAAAAGTTTTCTGACAATTCTTGAACAGTCAGTGGATCAAAATTATCCTGGTGCAAAAGGTTTTCTGATAAGCAAAGAGGCTCACAGTCAAAAAGCTTACGGGGCTTTTCTTTCTCAAAGTGGCATGTTGTTATGGACTCTCTGGAGGCATCCAGACTTGAACTTAAAGTGGTCGGCTTCAGGTCTGTTTGAACTCCGTTTAGTTCCATTAAGTCAAATATTTTTTGGTGACTGGGCAGACCATCTGATTTGTCCAGATCATTAAATATACTGTTGAAGGGGCTCTCAGGGCCCCTGGGAACATGGACGTCCTCGGGGATGCTGGAATCTTTGGGGTCTGTACTGCTTTGGAAGAAATCCTCATCTGTACTGGACTCCTCAAATTCAAGATTCTTGAGTGTCAGAAACTGGGACGTCTCATCACTTATCTTCTCTGGGTTATCCATCTCGGTTGTGAGCAGTGCGGGCGGGTAATCGAGCTCCAAGTTGCTACCGCTTTTTTCTTCCAACTGGATGTAATAGTCGCTTCCAACAGAAAGGTTGTGGGCATCAAAAACAGGAACCACTCCAGGGGCCCCACGGGGGACATCCTGGCCACTGTCGTCTTGTTTCCCTGGCCCGGGATCTGAAAGTGAACTCTCAAAAACTTCAACTGGAAAAAAGATGCTTGTGTAGGACAAGGCTTCGTCTGGGGCACCCCGACTGTGTTCGTCAAAGTGGTCATGCTTAGCCGCCTCCCAGACATACTCAAAGCTCAGGCCCTGGCTGGTCTCAGTCACGGTGAGGACCTCCTCCATCTCGCGACCAAGCCGATCCCTGGCAAAATGGTCGAGAATTGGGAAGGCAGCATTACTTGAAGTGTCTCTGCTATTTGTATTTGGTTTAAGAGCATTCCACTGTTGTTCAAAGTCAACTTCTGAGTCCCTTTGGCTTTGCATCCGCAGGTAGGTGAGCAATCTATGCACATCCTCGGCTGCTGGTCTCTTGTCTGGCGACAGCCAGCAAAATTGCAAAACTTCATACCTGAATGACAATTGAGAGGTAATTAATGGATTGATGGTAAATTGCTTTATTCATTTTTTTTTAAAGATTTTTCATTTATTTATTTGACAGAGAGAGTGACAGAGTAGCAGAGGGAGAGAGAGAAGCAGACTCCCAGCTGAGCAAGGAGCCTGATGCGGGGCTCAAACCCAGGACCCCGGGATCATGACCCGAGCCGAAGGCAGACACTCAACGACTGAGCCACCCAGGCGCCCCAATGGTAAACTGCTTTAAAATAAGAAAGGACTTCAAAAGGACTCCTAAGCCAACGCAACACCTCAAAAGTTTCTATGCTATGATCACTGTTGACCACATGAAGCAGCTCAGTTCATGGTGAAAGAGGAAATAAAGAAATATAAAAATATAAAATCCTAGTTTTTTGTGTTCCCAGGACACTTCACGGTATTGGTGTCTGTCATTTGTTTTTCTAGTGTGTATCCAGTGACTTAGCCCCAGAATTTAGAAACAGTTTTAACATGATCTCCTCTTTAAAAAATTATCACAGGTATCCTGTGTAGTAAAGACTGCGCTTGTTTGCATTTTTAGATTTACTCACTTTACTTTGCAAGAATTCTCAGAGACAAATTCTGTTGTAACTAATATCTAACTATTCCCCCCAATAAAAAGTAACACTATGATCTTATGTAGCACATTGTTTCCTTAGATCAGAAAAGTAGCAGAAAGTGGAGGGAAACAGTAGAAAATGAAGTCCAAAGAAGGCAGCAACCAGGAGCTGGGTTTTCCAAGGGCTGACTGAATACAGCCAACATCTTAAGCTGGTGCCATGAGCAGAAGGGAAGACAAAGATGACTTCAGATTATTAAATGTATAGAGCCCAGATCCAGTTATTCTGGGTGAAACGGTTCCCACAGCGTGGGGAGCTGAGCGATGCCTAAGTGCAGGGGCTCACCTTGCTTCAGAGGCAGTGTGCGCTGGGCACATAGTGGTGTAGACAGAGGCTTAGAAAGAGGTAAACCTTATCCTAATTGGCACTGGAGTAAGAACTGGTCCAAAGATTCATATGAAGTAAATTTGTTTTGCGAATGTCAACATATATTATGCAAATTAGCTCCCACTGCCTATTTAAATATTATCGTTTCTATGCTCTTTTCGCACATATTAGGTATCACTTACAAAAATAGCCTCATTTTAAAACAATTCCACAACAGGAAACTCCCTTAATATTGACTTTTCTAAATTAGTTCAGACTTCACATTTTTTCTTATTGCATGTAATTCATAAACCCCTACTTGTTCTACACACTTAAAAAAAACATTAAATTTTAAAAATAGATTGAAAATCAGTTGTGAATAATAGTTTGCTTTTCATAACATTTGTTGTTTAAAAAGAGGGAATATACAACTAACACCCAAAGAAAGAGACAACAAAACGTAAAATGGAGTTACCCACCATCTATCAGAATAAGGCTGCTCCAGCTGAGGCTTAGGGAGCTTTGTGTCTCTCTCTCGAATCACCTGATTGAGAACATCTAAGTTGGAAAGGCTGGAATAAGGCTGAGCAGCATTATCAAAAAGCTCCCAAAGTGTCACACCCAGGGACCTGTGGAAAAAAGAAAAGTTATTTCTTCTTCCCTTTACAGATGTCAAATTTTTCAGCACCAATATCTTCATTTGTACACTCATTAGTGACTTTACGAACAAGGTGTGTACTGAAAAGGTTATTAAAGATAACTCTTCAAAGACTTTTAAAAAGAGGCATTTTCAATAAAATGAGGACAAGTATGCCTCCTCATATTTACATATTTACTACGGAATACTCTAGAAGTTTTGGCCAATGCAAAAAAAAAAAAAATCAAACAGATAACAGGCACAATTATAGAGAGCAGCTAATGTGACTGTCAACTTTAAAATTCAAGAAATTATTTGAAAGATCGTGGGGCGCCTGGGTGGCTCAGTCGTTAGGCGTCTGCCTTCGGCTCAGGTCATGATCCCAGGGTTCTGGGATCAAGCCCCACATCGGGCTCCCTGCTCCGCAGGAAGCCTGCTTCTCCCTCTCCCATTCCCCCTGCTTGTGTTCCCTCTCTCGCTGTGTCTCTCTCTGTCAAATAAATAAATAAAATCTTTAAAAAAGAAAAAAAGAACATTAGAATTATTTCAGAGTTTAGCAAAATGGTGAGATACAAGATAAATATCCTGAGGTGGACCAAAAAAAAAAAAATCCCATTCACAATAGCAGTAAACACCAGAAAATGTATCAGAGAAACCTTTATATAAACAAATAATCTCTTCTTTGGTGGATCCACACATTTCCTTAACAGTGTGGGTTTGGTTGCTATTATGAAGGGACTTCTTGCCATCATTCTGCCACCTATTTGTGTGTCTGCCACCTGCCCGAGCCTCTCGATGCCTCCAGGTTCTCGGCTGTTACCACAGGCAGGAGTGAATGTCCCTTCTTGGTACCCATCCCGTTCTCTCACGCCAAGTGCTCTGTCGCCATGGAAATGGCCTCTGCAGCTCAGATGTACACTTAACTCTCCATCTCCTTTGTGCAGTCTCTGGGTTTCTATCCCAGCACGAGCCTTTGGTCGTGTAGCAGCATCTCCTATCACTGCAATGGCCCCTAAATCTGGCTGACCACCTGTGTCATCTGAGAATAGAGAGGTATTTAGGACCCACCCCCAAGAACTCTCAGTTGGTAGATGCAGGTGTGGCCTAGGAAACTGTAGTTAAAAAGTTCACTAGTGATTCTGACATCCAGCCAGGTTTGGGTATTAATGGTTTACGTGACTTGGATCAATACCTCCAGAATGCTTGTTTGAATAATAAACTGCACTGAATGAGTAAGTCTATTATTTGACACTATACAGTACAATCTAACTTATGAGTTAATTTCTCTATGCTAACTTCACAAGTCAGTGAAAAAAATCAGCATATTCAGTATCTAAGTTGAGAAATCACTTCTATCAGAGGAAATAAATGGACCCAAATTTCACAACTCAATTCAAGAAATAAAACACTTCTTCTCCCTGGCACAGACTTGCCAGAGGCAGAGGGTCGTTCTGGATACAAAAAAGTTTAAGACACTATTGATGACGTTAGGGAGTTTATAATCTAACTGAGGAAAATAAGAAAGTCACATGAAACACTAAAGACCAAAGAGATAGTATATAATTAATGGCAAAATGAGTGTTACCGCTACCATGCTTGGTGTGATCTTGGGCATATAACTACCTGTGTCAATTTCTCCAAATCCCTGATTTAACTCACTTTCCCTCCCCCATTCCCAAATCAAAGCCCTCTCCAGCCCCCAGCCCACCCTGTTCTTCAGAGGACACGAAGCATGGGCTTTCTCAACTCCCCACTCCACCAATCCTAGCATCTCTATGCAGGCCACAGAGAAAGATGAGACACGTCTCCTCCTCCAGGTCTGTCCCTCCCCCGGAGCTCTCTACTCTACCCCGTGCGGCGTCCTCCAGGGTAACCACCACCAATCACTCGCTGATCCCTAGCTATTCCATTCTTCACTTTGTACTGGCTCTTAACGTCCTTGAGTACCACTGGCCTCTCTCCAATGGGGAAAAAAGAGCGTCCTGTAGTTCTTACCCTCTCTTCCACTAAGCTCTCTAAGAGAGGCCCCTGTTGATCTCCCCGGTACAGGGCAGTGTGGGCCCTGCCTTGGGCCGCAGTTGGCACTACTGTTGGCCCTACCACCAGAGACTTCTCAAAGCGTTAGCGACAAGGGTGGGCTGTCTCTGGGAACGCAGGCTAAGTTTTCAGGTCCAACACCCTGCTAGGAACAGTAAAAATATGGATGAAGCATACAGAGCATCTTTTTAAAGGTATCAAAGATGGGCTAACGGAATTGCCAGGAAAAACTCTAGAACTTGAAGAACTAAGGAGAATACTAAAACCACCTTTGAGCTGGAGCCTTTGCTGAAGCACAGAACTCGGGCTTTTGTGGTCTTGATTTACAAGGCAATGCGGGTGGTGGTAAATAGGCCAAAGCCCTGGGCCTGCCCAAGCTAAGGGGAATCACAGAGACACCTCCTCACAGTGAGATTAAACCTGCCCCCTGCCTCCCTCCAGGAGCCTGAAAAGCAAGCTGACTCAGCACTGAGGTGCTGTTAGTGTACGTGTGTACGAGTGTGTGAATGTGCGTGTGTGCATGTGTGTGTAAGGGGGGGGCGTGTGGTCCCTAACAAGCTGTAACCACAGAGCTGATCCTTGATTGGATTTGCAGCCCAAATTCACAACACCTGAGTGTTCAAAAAAAACCTTCATCTGAATATGTGAAGCTCTCATACATGGCAGGACGCCCTGGTATCCAACACAAGCAAGTAAGTGTGGATCCTCTCTGGAGGAATGCTCCCCAATTCTAGGTTTCCAAGATCCTCACCCCAAGGAAACAAGGCACCATCAAGAACCAGCAAGATCAAATCCACTAAGACTTCAGCTACCAGAAACATCTGATGCAGATCATAATCCAACTATTTTAAAAACACTGGGACATGTTTTTAAAAACAAAATAGATTTCCTAAAACTGAAAAGTCAATAGCTGAACTACATAAAACTTAATAGAGAGATTTAACAGAAAAACAGACACAGCTGAAGAGAGAATTTTTAAAAAGAGAAAGAATTAGTGGCTGGAACACAGGTCTCAAAATTATCTAGAGCATGGCCCAGAGTCAAAGAGATAGGATATATAAAGGAGAGACAAAGAGACAGAAGGCAGAGCAGGAAGGCACGACACACATCTAAACGGACTTCCCGAAAGAGAGAAATGGAGCAGAGGCAGTATTTGAAGGGTGGGCCTGAGAACACCACCAACCTATAGATATGAAAAGCCAAATAAATCCCAAGCAGAAAAACGTAAGAAATCCACACCCATACACATCATAGTGAAACTACAAAAAAACCCACAAAAAACAAAGAGAAGAATTTAAAAGCAGCCAGAGAGAAAAGGTCACATTACCTTCAAAGAGTTTAGGTAGACTTACGGCTGACTTCTCAATAGCAACAATGGAAGCCAGAAGACAGTAGAACGATCTCTTCAATATGCTGAGAGAAAGTAACTGTCACCAAGTAAAAATATATTTCAAAAATGAGGACAAAATAAAGGTATGTTCAGACCTACAAAAAACTGAGAGTCTGTTACCAGCAGGCCCTCACTATAGGAAATTCTGAAGGACATACTTCAGACAAAGGGAGAATGATCCCAGATGGAATTTCTGAGATTAAAAAAAAAAGAAAAAGAAAAAAAAAAGAATGAAGAGCAAAGTGATTTAATTACGTGGATAAACCTAAACAAAAAAGTGCTTAAAAAAACCAATAATAACGTCTTGTGAGGATAAAAGAAAAAAAATACCCAATAAGATATAATTGTGTGTGTGCATGCATGCGTCCATGCGTGCGTGCGTGTCCATGCATGTGTATGGTGTATAGTTAAACCAAATTAAAGTATGTTAAAGGTCCTTGTATTGTTCTGAGAGAGGCTCAAAATATGAACCAATATTAGACTACAATAAGTGGAATATACATGTTATAACTTCTAGGGTAACCTTTAATAAAAAGTATAGGACTAGCATAGATAGCTCTCAAACTAACGGGAAAAAGCAGTTAAAAAAATCAATCCAAAAGAAGGCAAGAAGAGAAAAAGAAAATAGAAAAAGCAGGATAATAGCACAAAAAATATATATATAAATTAAGAAAGCTGTAACAGAAACTGTTAGTCAAAGACATAAACACATTTTTTTCAACTTTCATTAAACTGATCTCCTATAAATCACAGTATTACATATTGGTCCAAACGTCTGTTTTTTCATTCACTTTAATAAATATTTAAAATGTCTATTATACTGCAGGTCTTACGGGAGGCAAGAAAATAGACCGGTTTCCTGCTTTTGTGGACCTTATTACTGTTGAATGGGTAAGAGAAAAGTTAATTATATCATCACAATTGTGATAATTGCTATGATGTCAAAGAATTGTCTTTACCTCACCATCAGGCACACCTGTGTTCCTAAATCTTATTCAGTTATTTTTCTTTAAGTACTCAAGGGGAAAGAAGTTAGGACTTTGCTACACAAAAGTCTAACAGAATGGTAAATCAATACCTACCAGATATTACTATACTTCGTTTGATCTGCAGTTAGTAGTCTGTCTTGAAAGCTGGTTACTAATTCTGGAGCAGTCCATCGCAGAGGGAAAATTTTTTTATCATCTGTTTCAATATAATCCTCCTGTTTTGTTGGAAATCATACAGAATTTTATTTATTTTTTAAAATATTTTATTTATTTATTTGACAGAGAGAGAGAGAGAGAGAGAGCACAAGCAGGGGAAGTGGCAGGCAGAGGGAGAAGCAGGCTTCCCGCCGAGCAGGGAGCCCGATGTGGGGCTCGATCCCGGGACCCTGGGATCATGACCCGAGCTGAAGGCAGCCGCTTAACTGGCTGAGCCACCCAGGAGCCCCAAGCATAAAGAATTTTAAATTCTATTAGCTTTTCAGTGAACTCAATGATTTAACACCAGGTCATTCTCAGAAAACACATGCTGAACCCAAAAGATGTATCAGAAAAAGAAGTGGGCATGAAGAGAGATTTTCTGGGCAGAAGGTGGGTGAGGTTTTCTCTGAAGCCTTTTGGGCTTCGTGAGCTGCTCTCTGAGCCACGAACGCTTGCTCAGTCAGCCTTCCTGGAAAAGGAAGGTACTCCACATCTGATGTACAGAACAGACTCTGAGCAAAACATCTTTTAAAATATGCTGGGCCTTACGCCCCAAGTAGGGCAGCAGTGCCTAAGATTAGGGACTGGGTTCTAAGTCCATGCTCAACCATTTACAGCTCACTACCAGACTCTGGGAAAGCAACAAATATGCTAAGCCTTTTTCTTTATCTGTAAAATGAAGATGATACAATACCCACCTCCCTTTATGGTGAGGATTAAAATAGGTAACTGCCGGCAACGACTTCATGGTGCCTGGTACACAGCAAGGGCTCAAGACGCTAGAGCGACTATGTAGACAAATAACCAACTTATATTTGCGTAATATATTTTAGTTACAAAGTACTATGAAAACATGACCCCTGTGGTCCTCATGAGAACCCCGGAAGACAGAACAGGTATGATCCTCGTGCCGCTCTGCAGATGGCGTGGAGCCAGGACAGACAGTCACGTTCTGTGCCCCATACCATGCTACCTCATTCAGCTGGGCTACAAAAGAACACGTGAAAACCTCACCTACTTCTTAGTTTGTTTGGGGATATATTTATGTCAGAGTTTAAAAAATCTAAATTGCAAGCTTCCTTTAGAGCCAGAATTTTACTGGGGACATGTTGATATGACATGTATTTTATTATACAGGTGGTAATGATTATTCCCCATGTGTTCATACTAAAATGTGTTATGCACCACCAAGCTATATTAATTACACTGTGTAAAAATCTTATTTTTAAACAAAGCCTTTGGAAAGCCGTCACAAAACCTCAGCACAGAGCCACTGATGTAGACAAACCACACGTCAGAAGCCAACACTGCTGTTAAGATGACTAGAACAAACCATTCTCCAAAAAGACAACATAACCAAGATTCTTAACCCCCTCTTTCAAAACCAGGGTGGCATTTTGTGATAAGACCACCTCATGGCTATGAAATTAAATCAACTTCAGGAGAGAACCTTTAAACCTTGGCTTACCTTGTACCTGCTGAATCCTATTCCATAATCTCCCACTTTCACATTCAGGTCCGAGGTAAGAAAACAGTTCCGCAAGGCTAAGTCACTAAAAGCAGAAAGAGTGAAGTGAACACAAGGACAAGGAGAACCTGCAAGCAGGACACTGTCACCCCAAATTGCTATGCACAAAGCCTTCTCTATGAAGCAGAGTGGTGTGTTGAGCTCCCTGCTCAGTAATGTTTTAAAATTCTTTTTTAGGGGCGCCTGGGTGGCTCAGTCGGTTAAGCAACTGCCTTCAGCTCGGGTCATGATCCCAGGGCCCTGGGATCGTGTTCTGCATCAGGCTCCCCAGTCTGCTTCTCCCTCTGACCCTCCCCCCTCTCATGCTCTCCCTATCATATCCTCTGTCTCTATTTATTAAGATTTTATTTATTTATTTGAGAGAGAGAGAGAGAGATAGCAAGAGAAAGCACAGGTGGGGAGGAGAGGGAGAAGCAGGCTTCCCACTGAGCAGGGAGCCTGACGCAAGACTGGATCCCAGGGCCCTGGGATCATGAGCTGAGCCGAAGGCAGACACTTAACCGACTGAGCCACCCAGGTGCCCCCAAAATTATTTTTTAACGGAAAAAGTATTATATATCATATTCGTCATTACTAAAATCCATGGAGATGATCAAATTTTTTCTTACAAGTAGTAACTGCTAAAGCGGGGAACCTGGGTGGCTCAGTTGGTTAAACGTCTGACTTGTGATTTCAGCTCATGGGTTGTGAGATTGGGCCCAGTATGGGGCTCCATGCTCAGCAGGGAGTCTGCTTGAGATTCTCTCCCTCTGCCCCTCCCCCGTGCTCACGCGTACTCTCTAATAAATAAATAAATCTTTAAAAAAAACAAGTAACTGCTAAGGTTAAATACTGACCATATCTGTACCTTCTGCTGCATCAGTAGCAGATTTATGTCTCATTTCCTGGTGTTCTGAGAGTGATCAAGAGGGGCGGCTGGCTGGCTTAGTCGGTTAAGCGTCTGCCTTCAGCTCAGGTCATGATCTCGGGGTCCTGGGATCGAGCCCCGAATCAGGCTCCCTGCTCAGTGGGGAGCCTGTTTTTCCCTCTCCCTCCGCCCCCTACCCTGCTTGTGCTCTGTCTCTCATTCAATTTCAAATAAATAAAATCTTTAAAAAAAAGGATGACCAGGAATTTTAAAATACTATGAGCCAAAGTGTCTGAATAATTTTTTACAGTAACTTGTATTACTTGAGTAATAGTCTAGTAGTCTATTTATTATAAAGATGAATAAAATTACAACTTCAAGCACCCCAAACTAATCTACATTATTAAAAATATTAATTTTTTAATATATTATAAGGAGGCCACTTCCAGTTACTTCGCTTTCTTGCAAACCCCACCTCTCCACAGGAAGGTAAAGAGCACATTTTCAGGACTTACTGAAAACAAATTACATAGGTTATTTAAAAACAGGTTAATTCTCAAAAACACGTATGTTGAAAAGTAAAATCTACTTTTTCTGAAGGAGCCTTCCATATAGACAACAGAGTAAACACTTTGGATTTCGGTATAAGCCCCCCTTTTATCTTTCAATCTTTTTATCTTTTTGATCATCCACTGGCATAGGAATTAAAGAGTCCACTAAATTAAAGTAGAAAAGCACAGCCCATTTATAGTTTCAAATCATAAAGTTATCAAAAACTTTCTGTAGTCCAAAACTCAAAACGTTTGTCTTGATATGATTTTAGAAGACAAAAGCTTAAACTAATGATTAAATTCTTAATTTTCAAAGATTTTAATTTCTGAAGCTTACATGCCTGAACCAGGACCATGCTGATGACGGCAGCAGCTATGGCTGATGTAACTCAGTGACAGCCCGCCTGGTACATGAGGACCAGGTACTTGTAAGGACAGCCCGCCTGGTACATAAAGACCAGGTACGTAAGGACAGCCCGCCTGGTACATAAAGACCAGGTACGTAAGGACAGCCCGCCTGGTACATAAAGACCAGGTACGTAAGGACAGCCCACCTGGTACATGAGGACCAGGTACGTAAGGACAGCCCGCCTGGTACATAAAGACCAGGTACGTAAGGACAGCCCGCCTGGTACATAAAGACCAGGTACGTAAGGACAGCCCACCTGGTACATGAGGACCAGGTACGTAAGGACAGCCCGCCTCGTACATAAGGATCCAATCATATGTTAATGGCTAAGATTTATAAAGCACTTACTCTACACTGGGCATTTCTCTAAGCTCTATACACATGTATTAACTCATTTAATCTTCACAAGGAACCTTGGAAGTGGATAGTCTTATCCTCCTCATTTACAGATGAGGAAACAGGCAGAGAATCAAAGTAACATTTTTGCTAGGGCTGCAAAGCCAACAAGACGCCGTCCCCCTGCAGTAACCATCAGCAACAATGCACCAGCAATTGGAGCGTTGTCCTGGACGTATGGCTGGTCCCCGACGAACACGTGCTGATCTAGACAGCCAGCTGGTTCTATTCAATCATCTCCACACTCTGTTTACTAGCAGTAATTTTCACGGGGCTCCCCTCAGAAGCCTTCAAGCCTGTGGTGTCTGGGAGCAAGAGAGAAACCTCCAATCTTAAGAAGAAAATTGGTCTCTCCTTTTTGGAATGAAGGGAGGCAGGAGGGAGGCAGAAACAATACACCCTTCGAGGGCAGAGAAACGGAAATGCTTTCCGGCAGGCGACACTGTCCACTGGACCGACAGCTACAACAGGACAGTGCCGCGGGTTCTGCCAACAGAGGCTCTGTCACTGAGCACCACTGATGGGCATTTCCAGAGTCTCTAGAAACAGATCCTTCTTAACCTTCCCCACATCTCTCTCCTAAGAGCAGAATTAAAAGCTGGGTGCCCCAGCATTCCAACAGGGCCCTGTGTGTGTCTCCTGCAGGCGGGCAGCGGCCTCGGCACTTGGTGCCTTCCCCGCGGGCCAAATGAGCAACCAAGCCCTAGGCAATACCTGGGCTGCCCTGCCCCCTCCGTCCTCTCCTGTCTCCTTCCACATGTACAGTGCAGGTCTTTAGACACATCAAATGTATAGGTTACGGAAAAGATGAAAAGTTACCTAAGCAAAAGGCCGTTGGCTTTCACTGTAAAAGGCACCCTAAAACTAACACAATCCAAGTGATGCTCTCAGGGGAAGGAGGAATGCTTCTCCTCACCTGAAATCTGAAGCAATGAGGACCCAAACCAGGGTGGGACTGGAGGAGCTTCTTCTAAACCTGCCCCCTACCTCCACCCCACGCATGCGAGCACCACACACAGCACTGGGGCAGAGGGGGCGGGGGGAGGCGGCGCAACAAGGGCAATGTGGGGACTCGTCCTGGCTCCACTGCTTAGGAGCCGTGTGACTTGGGGCAAGTCATTTAACATATCCGAGCCTCAGTTTACTCACAAACGGGTGCGCTGTAAGAGCTAACTCACAAGGTTCTATAAGGATAAAATAAAGCAATATATGAAATGTTCTCAGAATGTTAAAGTGCTATCCACTTCTAAGATAATGAGGTAATTCGATTCCAAATTGGTAAAAGCAAATATTCTCTGAAGCCCAACACACAAAGCTAAAGAAGAGAAAAACACAAAGGTGTAACTTAACAACACAGGCAATTCTTGACGTCAATGGCTGCTTTTGGTCAGGAAACACAAACATACCCAGTATATTTTTCCTTCAAGTTGAAAAACAGGTCTGGTGGTGAGGCTGCCAAACGATCCAGCTCTGACGGCCTCTGGCTCCGTCCCCTGGCTGGCAGCAAGGCCGTCCATCGCCCCCGCTGTCAGTGATGGCCTCGGCTGTGTGGGCGGGGCGTACAGACGCGGGGAGTGAGGATCCACAGACCTAGAGTTCCCCATCCTGACCCACAAGGAAGCATCACTACTTGTTCTCAGCTCGGCCAGAGCTGGCGTTGACCTGGCCCCAGAAGGACTGCTCGACTGGAAACAGCTCAGGGAGGCTGCAGCCATTTTCAAAATCACTCACACCTCTCTTCGCCTCACTTCTGCTTTCGCAAGCAAAGCTGAATTCCCCATAAACAGAGGCACCACGTGGGAAGCCAAATAGCTGAAACTTACTGCTCAGTATTCTTCTAGGGCGTGGCATACATTATCTCAAGTCCTCTTGACAACAGCACTTCAGGATAAAGATTATCCCCATTTCATAGAAGAAAAAGGTTCAGAAGGATTAAGTAATGTGGCTTATCTTGGTACAGTTAACGAGAGGTGAATTAACAACTTGAACCCCTAATTCGTGCTTTGCTCACCAGACCGCTCTGCCCTTGGCAGTCATGAAAGTTTAAAAAAAAAAAAAATCACTAAGAGTTTTGAAGAAACTGCTACTTATCACTTGAAGATGGGACGCAGCTCAAAGCGGTACAAGCTCAAGATGAAAGCCAGAGGACTCTGATAACGGCACAAAGGACGCAGTTTTAACTGCTTTTGCCTCGACTTATTCGGTCGGTCCTTGCTAGCTGAATGAGACTACATTTCCTAAGTGCCTCCTGCATGTCAGGCACCTGCTAGCCTCCAGGTCTATAGAGGACACTTGTGCTGTGAAATTCTGGGCGGACGCCGAAGAGAAGGAAGGTCTGTGGCTGGAATGTGGCCCAACACTGCTGGCCTGGGTTTTGAGAAATGGTGATAAAATGGGGACAAAGCCTTCAGTTCTCAGTTTTCTCCAGGGCTGGGCCAGAGCTGACACTGAGCTGGACAGTCAGGCTCCTACGGGTCTCAACCTCTGGTTATGGCTTACCTCCTCCCTGTACACGATTACAAGACTGGACGAAACACATAAGGATGGCAGAAACAGAGGCTGCCAAACGGGATGAACTGTAGGGCAGGGCAGAAGGAGAGGAGGGAGTAAGCTCCGAGAGCGAGCAAGCATCCCAGAAATCTGCATACAGGTCCCTCTGAGTCTTGTCTGAGGCCAACTCCTGAGCTGCGTACGTGTGTGCTCTGGAAGATGATGAGGCTGACAGGACACTCACAGAGCTGGGAAGACTGGTCAGAGTGGAGAGACTTCCCTCAACAGCCTGGTGATACCCCTCAAGGTCCTTAAGAAGAGGGTTACTCTGA